CAATGTACAATTTCTCTCTTTTTCACAAAGCTGTGAATGCTTTGGATGCTATTTAGCACAGTGGAGCTAGACAGATTGTTTTGGGGGCTTTGGAGGCCTTTCTTCCTGCTGGGAGGCAAATGTTGCCTAGTGATCACATCTGAGCAAAGAAGTCAGGAACGCTAAATTCTAATCTGTTTAGTATCTGGTTCCATGATCCTTAGTAAGTCACTTCCCTTCTATACCTCCACTCCCTTCCCCAACAAATGGCGATAAAAATAATGACTTATCACCCAGGAATGAGCAGGGTGAAAGGGTAAGAAGGACTGTGATCCCTAGATAAACATCGAATATAAAATGCCAGTATAAATCTGCCTTTATAGCAACCCATGTTTTTAGACTGTGGAAAGCTGCATTATTTAAATGCAGGCTGCCTCCCTAATGCCACTTCTGCCTGAAGTGGTAGTAAAATAAGCTGACTCCATGGAGCTCTGTTCAAAGATTTCCCTTTCCAGCAACTACATGCTTCTCTCTAAACATTCTACTCATTCTTTAGTTAATGGCTTAGAAACCATCAGTTTCCATTTTTACTTGGTAAAAAGCAATCCATGTATCTGTAGGTAAGGAAGAATGAGACAAGAAAAGAAAAATTACTCACCACTCCCTTTCACATCAATAACTAAAATTAAAAGGTAATGGCCTGGCCAGTGTGGTTCAATGATTGAGCATCAACCCATGCACTAAGAGGTCCCCGGTTCTATTCTCAGTCAGGGCACATGCCAGGGTTGTGGGTTTGATCCCCAGTAGGGAACATACAGGAGGCAGCAGATTGATAGTTCTCTCGCATCACTGATGTTTCTATTTCTCTCTCCCTCTCCCATCCTCTCTCTGAAATCAATAAAAACATTTTTTAAAAAAAAGGTGATGAAGTCAGCTGAACAGAAACATGACAACAAACATCCTGCTGGGTTCTATTATTGTTGTTAGTTCTAAGACCCAAACACAACACTGTGCTGCTTTAAGAAAATATTAATTCATCATTAATGCAAATTCTAATATTCATTCATTTATTCTTTCAAAATTTTACTGAGCCCCTATCATAACCCAAGTAGTGTACTGGGGATGAAATAATGATTAAAACATAGACCTCCAGAAACTTTTTAAAGAGGATAGATATTTTAAAAATTCATTGTTCAGACATTTGCAAACATAGCAAAACAATGTGATGTGCTAAAATAGAAGCTCCAAGTGCCATAGGAGGACACAGGATATACAACATAGTGACCAACATGGCCTTTAGCCTCAAGAAGTCGAGAGATGAGCCCTGGTCAGTGAGGCTCAGTTTGTTGGAGCATCATCCAGTACATCAAAAAGGTGGTGTGTTCCATACCCGGTCAGGGCACATACCCAGATTGCAAGTTCGATCCCTAGTCAGGGGGTAGAGGGAAGGCGGCGGAGGGCCAAGTGCAGGAGGCAACCAATTGATACTTCTCTCTCACAATGATGTTCTCTCTCTCTCTCTCTCTCTCTCTCTCTCAATTTTTTAAATAGATATTTTTATTGATTTCAGAGAGGAAGGAAGAAGAAGAGATAGAAACATCAATGATGAAAAAGAATCATCGATCGGCTGCCTCCTGCATACCCCACACTGGGGATCGAGCCTGCAACCTGGGCATGTGCCCTGACCAGGAATCGAACTGTGACCCTGGTTCTTAGGTCAACACTCAACTGCTGAGCCACGTGGGTCAGGCTCAAGTCAATTTTTTAAAACGTTTAAACAGAAGTTTAGAGAGGAAACTGCTAAACTAAAGTTCCCAGGAAGAATGCAGTATGATCGGTAAATACAGAAAAAATATTTAACCAGAGACTAAGATGTTCTGTGAAAACAATTAATTTGGAGTCCATGGAACCTAAAATTAATATAGGGATTCTTAACATGGAATCATGGAGGGACTCTCAGAGGGTCCATGAACTCTCTGAAATTACATCTGAAATTATAATATGTATGTGCAAACAGATATTTTTGGACACAAAGATCATATCTTTCATTACATTCTCAAAGGTAAAGAACTATTTCACTAGGATCTTATCCTAAAAACCACTTTTCTATCTGTATCAGAGGAGAGTTTCAAGACCTAAGGTTTTACTCAAAATAGGAGGTCTGGATAGCCTAGGTGTCAGAGAAGAGCTTCTGAACTTTCCATAACTTGGTGAAAAATAGTGATTGCTGAAAAGAGAGCAATGAGAGAGTCCTTTCCATAGTCTAGTTGAAGTCAGCTTAAATATATTTGCCCACATACTCAGATGCCATGGTGACAGGCATCATATAAATAGACAGTGGCAGCAGGGAGTAGGTCATGGCTTGTAGTCAACAGATCAGCAGGATTAAACCCCCAACTAACACAGCTGACTTGTCCTTGTCCATGAGACAAAGCCTGGGAATTCCATATAAGAATTTAGAGGGGGACCTTTGGCTATCTCCTCAATAATAAAAAGCTACAATAGCCAACATCATAGAAATAAAAATCACTCAAAGTGCAGGTATATTAAACAACCACATTCCAAATGACAAAAGGCATTTGGATCCTAGCTGACTGCTTCCTAGACACCCAGGGACTTCTGTATGTCTAATCTGATACCACATATGCCTTACCTGTCTTATTTATAAATAAAATGGAATTAAAGTTTGCAGCACATGTATGGTCAAGTATCTATACATGTAAGCATATTTGCCATGATGAGTTTCAACAGCTCCCTCAAATCCATAAGTCTAGAAGGCAAAGAAAGAGTGAAAACATGGGCATACCATTATAGAGTGGGTGGATCCTCTAGACACATTTGTATTCACTGATTGCAATATTAGACATTATTATGGGCTCTGATGCATCACATGTAGTGTGATATTTTGCAGTTTTCCTTAACACCTGCTGCTCTACATCTCACTGTATACTCCATGTACGAACACATGGAGTCAGGGTTCCAGGAGGGCTCTTTCAGTCTATCTAGGAAAAGAAGCTAACCCCACTTGGCAGAGAGCTCTAGCACAAATGCCTATGCTTTAGAAGCAAGCAGTTATCCAGGTCTCACTAATGACACTCATATACCTCCTCTAAATTTGTCCAGGGCGCTAGGATGTCAATCAATCAGTTCTGAGATAGCACATAATTATAAACAGAGCTGCCATCACAGAAGTACTCAAAGACATCAAGTCAACTGACCAACATCAGAATGGTCTCCTGACCCACAATTTCCTAGCCAGATGGGGAAATGGAAGAGTCAGAAAAGATAAATATAAAAGACATTTTTAAATTTCTTTAAAAGATAACTGCCTCTTTAAACAAAAATGATGGCAATGAATTGTGGAGTTTATAACCTATGTAAAAGTAAAATGTATGACAATAATAGCACAAAGGGCAGGATATAAGGTAGAGGTAGGAGAACAATGGGAAGCCCAGGGCCACAGTGAACAGGAGAAGGCAATGTGGAAAAGGCAATGTGAAGAGTGCAGTGAGGAAGAAGACAACAGATGATGAGGATGGGAGAAAAATCCAGAGGAATCCCAGGGCCAGAGATATGATGGCTAGGATAGAGAGGAAAGAAAACAGAGTAACAGAAAATAAAACCAGAAGAGAATCAAAAGCAAGCAAAAACAACTACTACCACCAATCTTCAGTTACAATGTATAACATACATAAGCCATTTGTACTTGTTATAAGTCCTACAACTGTACCAACAGACTTGCATCATTTTTGTATTTCTCTCTAATCCTAAATTTTAGAGCCTAACAATCATATAGCTAATATTCATAGGCAAACATAGTAGTCCTTTATATTAAAAAAATTGTTCCTAAGAAATTCTACTAACTTTAGTTATTTCAATCTCTTTTGATCTCTCCTTAGCTCTTCTGTCTTTCAGACATCCCCTCAGTCTGAAACTCTCACAAAATGCTACTATTGCCACTTAGTGTTATTCTCCTACTCCCCCTTCATCACGATAGGCATTAACTGAAAAGATCTTGCTAATCCATTAATTAAAAATCTCTACTTCCCATTATGGACGACTAAATTTAGAAAGCCAAACTGGATTGGGAGGAAACAAGTCACAACAAGTGAAATGAATTCAATAGAAGGGGCAAGATTACTGACCCTTTTCTTCTTTTCTTAAAAAGCCTCTGACACTAACACACCCTCCACTGCTGAGACTACAGAGAAACTCTCCCAGGGTTGGGTAACCATTCATCACTATTAATTATCTGGAGAAGACTTTATTGTACCATCAGGTCAGAAAGCCACAGGACCTATCAGCAAATGAATGAATGCCTCAGGGAATATGTCTCTCCTCTGCTTTCCTGTAAGCTCTACTTAAATTGCACCAAAGAAAGGGGTGGCAAGCCAGCATTAATTGTACCCTTAGAGAAGAGCCACTTCCCGCCTGCAGGCATGGCAGTGACTTTACTGGGCTACCAAAAGGATACAAAGACAAAAGTAAACACTGTAATTTGCTGTTTTTGTCTCTGGCACAGGGGGAGTGGTACAATTGACACTGTCTGTAAACAGTAATAATACCAGATGTAACACAAAGAACAGGATTCCCCCATCTCTCCACCCTCTCTGCACCCCCTCTCCCTATGACATTCCTCCTGAGATTACTCATCTTGAAGAAACACACAGAAGCCTCCCTATAGTCCATATGCTCCTACCAAATGGAATTGAGGAAGAATCCAAGTTTGTACTGACTACTCTCTCTTACTCAAAGGAAGAAGCATTGGAACTCAATAAATAGCTGACAAAAAAAAAAAAAAAAAAAACCCCACAGGGAGGAGAGGGAACAAGAGAATATGGAATAGATATGTGACATGCTCAGGTCTGGATTAGAACAAGGCTGAAATGACAAAAAATATAAATGAAAATAGAAGCATCCTAAACAAACTAAAAAGTTTTTTTAAAAAATAATCTTGTGCTCCAGCCTAAGAGCTCATAAAAGATATAGGAAAAGAGGAGGAATTAAAAACATAAAGTTACCTGACCAGAGTTCCCGCCAGGTGTAATGCAGGCGTACTCTACACTTCTTCTGGTAACAAAGTAGCTTATGTACTACCTGAATGCAGCGTCTGTAACAGAGAAAGAGAAAAACTGGGATAAGCCTAAGAATATGGCGCAACTCACCAAAGACACCCTTTCTTTAGGGAGGCAACTTTGCTAAGGCCACTAAAGATGCTGGATATGAATCTGTACACATGCAAAGGAAAGGAATGCCTACCTGCAGCCTTCTAGTGAATAAAACACGCCCCTCTGCCCCCTCCCCACATACACACTGCTTGCAATAATTCAAGTATCTTCAAGAGTAATATTAAAAATATTTTGCAAACCATAGAGAAATATAAATATATAAATCAATATATACGTTAAAAATTTTTAATTCCGCCCTGGCCGGCTTGGCTCAGTGGATAGAGCTTTGGCCTGCGGACTGAAGGGTCCCAGGTTCGATTCCGGCCAGGGGCACGTGCCTGGGTTGCAGGCTCAATCCCCAGTAGGGGATGTGCAGGAGGCGGCTGATCAGTGATTCTCTCTCATCATTGATGTTTCTCTCTCCTCCCTTCCTCTCTGAAATCAATAAAGAAATATATTTTAAAAAAATTTTTTTAATTCCTTTATTCTCTAAATAAACTGTATCAAAGATACCAAGAGAAAAAAATTATAATGTAAATCATCCTAATAGTTTCCAAATCATTTGTTCAACTTTAGAAATTGTGGTATGATCTCTACTGTATGATGCAGTTGTCACTAGCTACAGGATGCCCTTACTTGAGCCATGATTTAACTTAGGAATATACAAACTCTCCTATCAATTTCCCCATTAAATTGATAGTCATTAGGTATCTGGTGCTGAAAGCTTTGTTGCAGCCAGCAAGGGTGGCTGGATGCTGCCCATGCATGACCACCCATGCACGGTACATTCCAAGATGCCAGCACTTCTCACATGGCCTGGTTGGAGACAGCCTGCCTGCACCTGGCTCTTTTGAGAATGCCTTCTCAACACTGAGCCACTGTGGAGCAGCAGTGAGATACAAACTATGTCCCCCACCCCTGCTGCAACCACCTTCTGGTTAAAGGCTATTGATATCCACTCCTGCACTGTTCCTGCCTCTGCAGCTACCCAACACATGACATCATTAGCCTTGTGGTCTCAACTTACACTATTTACCAAGCAGAATAAAAATGTTAACACTGCTACTACCTTAAAATTATATACTGGCTGAATGACTCCAAATTTCTTTCATGCATGTGTCAACACAAGTGTCAACACAAGACACTTCGAATTTAACCTGAAGTATTCTTGTGAAGTCCGCTGAAGTCTCTACTTTCTTCTGGTGCCTACCCACAGATTTGGGGCTCTCTGACTTAGTATGAGTCCAAGTTTTCCATATAAGAGTAACTTAAAGGAGAGTTTATTCCTCAGAGACTATTTCCCCTCAGTCCCAAATCAGTGGGGATGGCAGCAAGAATCAAGGATTACAGCCAGGAGTGGAAACGGGTTGGGTTTTCCCATCTCTTTCTTTCTCGCTTCTTTTCTTTCTACCTTCCATCCTCCTTCCTTCCCTCCCTCTCTCCCTTCTGACCTTCCTTTCTCTCTCTCTCTCTCTCTCTCTCTCTCTCTCTCTCTCTCTCTGTATAAGCGCCTTCTTCCATTATTATTTTACCTATAGCATTTATATACAGATGTGAAATTATTTCGTTTCTGACCCAGATCTGGTTTTGAGTATTAAGTCTTTCTACATTCCATATTTCTTCATATCTCACCAGGAGGATTATAAACTTATCTGAAATGGTAGAAATTCATTTTGCTTTCAACTTCTCATTCTGCTGTATGCTGCTGAAAAGCAGTACATAATAATAAGTAGAGCAACAACCTGGCCTGATGCCCAGCTGGGAGCAGATAAGTTTACCTAAAAAGGACTTGATGCTCCAAATGGCAAAAACTGGAAAGAGGATTGGAAGAGAGGGAGGAAGATCTGAAAATATGCCCATAGGCAATAATGAAGAAAGTGAATTCAGCCTGAGGCTGGGACCTTCTGCACAGCCTCTGTCAGCTTGATGCCTCATTATCTTCTCCATCTTCCCTAACCTTAGGACATTAAATTAGGGAGCAGATGGAAAAAAGCAACTAAGAAAGCAAGAGAATATAGAAAAAGTTAGGAACTAGAAGGTTAGGAGGGGTCTAAAGTATTTAGTGTAGACCAGGTTCATTGGCTGGGATATGAAGGCTTGGGTAGACAGATACATACCTGTAACTCTGTACTGAACACACAATATTATTATGTCATCACCATCTTCAATTGTTCCCCATCATCCACTTAATCTCAGGAAAAGTTTTTACTACTCTCCTATCCTACCTTCATGCACCCTACACTCCAATCATCCTGCCTTACTTTCGATTCTCCAAACATGCCACACTTCCAAGCCCTTGAACATATTGGTCCCCTGCTTGGTATGTCCCTCTCCCACTACCTCACATAGAAAACTCCTACTGTTTCTTTATGACTGAGGTCAAATGCAACAACCCTCGGATATCTTTTCTGATACCCCGGTCAGCATTAGTCACTCCCTGTTACTTATCACAGTATTGGTTAAGAGCACAGCCTCTGAGGTCACAGAGACTTGCGTTTGAATCTTAGTGATACAACTTAACTAGGTGTGCAACTATGATAGCCAGCCTGCAAGATGGCCCCAGTGGTCCCCACCTCCTGACATTCACATCTTTGTTTAGTCCTTTCCCACATTGTATCAGGGTGGGTCTGTGTGCCCAACAGAAATGGTATGTCATTTGAGATTGGGTTATAAAAGACACTATGGCTTCCATTCTAGGTCTCGATCTCTCTCTCTCTCTCTCTCTCTCTCTCTCTCTCTCTCTCTCTCGGATTACTTGCTTTGGGGGAGGCCAGCTGCCATGTCAAACAAGCCTATGGAGAGACCCGAGTGGCTTGCCAACAACCACGTGAGCTTGGACACACATTCTCTAGCCTAGTACTGCCTTAGATGCCTGCAGCCCCAGCTAACACTGTGATTGCAGCCTTGTGAGAACCCCTATGCCAACACTATCCAGCTAAACTGCTCCTATATTCCTTAACCACAGAAACTGAGATAATACATGTTTGTTTTAAACCACTAGGTTTTGCGGTAGTTTGTTACATAGCAACAGATAACTAATACACCTGAGAAGGAATGGCAACAGCCTAGAATTTATAGTAAGAAAATTTGGAATCAAGTCTAGGCAATGGTGCTTAATAACAGAATAAACCTAGGCAAAGCATTTCCAAAGCCTGAGTTTCCTTACTTGGAAAACAAGAAAACTGAGGCTATAATAATATACTACAAACTAAATAGCATATCCTAAAAGTAGAGCATAAGATAATCAAGCTAGAAATAAAGTCTCTAGCAAAAACAATCTGATCCCTAAGGTAACGAGGTTCAGAGATTCCATCTAAAATAAGCAGAGCCCAGCCGCAGTGGCTCAATGGTTGAGCATCAACCTATGAACCAAGACCTCTCGGTTCGATTCCCAGTCAGGACACATGCCCAGGTTGTGGGCTTGATCCCCAGTAGGGGTCGTGCAGGAGGCAGCTGATCAATGATCTCTCTCATCACTGATGTTTCTATCTCCCTCTCCCTCTCTCCTCTCTGAAGTCAATAAAAATGTTAAAAAAAATAAAATAAGCAGAAAACTCATCAGATACAGGTTCTTTAAAAAAAAAAAAAGCCTTTCATCATCCTTAAATTAAAATAAAGGATCAGGCTAATTCTAAACACCCAAAAGATATGAAAAAAATGCAAACTATAGCCTACTTACCTAAAAGTAAAATTTGTATCATTATTTCAGACCTAGGACACCAAGACTATCTAGCTTACAAGCAGTCTAAAAAGCTGGAGGTCTACTCTGTTCCAAGCAAAATCTTTTATATTCCCTAGATCACAGGCCTGGCATTAGAATGAGGTACACTGAGCCTCCTTTCTGCACACCAAACTGCTCTCTCTTGCTCAAAAAAATGGAGGTACCAATTGTGTTGTCAGATGCTTTTTAAGGAAAAAAGATAATGTACATATTTGGCATAGCAGTTCTTGGGCATTAAAGATAGAAAGACAGCCCTGGCCGAACTGCTCAGTTGGTTAGAGCATTGAACCTGTATTCCAAGGTTGCAGGTTCAATTCCCGGTCAGGGCCCATACAAGAATCAACCAATGATAAATATCAAAAAAGAAAAAAGAATCAACCAATGAATGCATAAATAAGTGGAACAACAAATCAATGTCTCTCTCTCTCTCTCTCTCTCTCTCTCTCTTTCTCTCTCTCTAAAAACAATGAATAAAAAATTTTTTAAAACTAGGCATTTCTCTCTCTCCCCCTTTCTCTCTCTCTCCCTCTTCCTCTTTCTCTCTAAAATCAATAAACAAAATTAAAACAAAAAATAAAGCAGAAACAGCAAAGGAGAAAGAAAGACTTAAGGCTTAAACTTTACTAAAGTATTTTCAATTGCCTCTAGTTATACTGATTGTTAAGAATTGTGAGAGCCCTAACTAATTTGGCTGAGTGATTAAAGCATCGGTCCACAGACAGAAGGGTCTTGGATTTGATTCCAAGTCAAGGGTGCACGTACCTGGGTTGCACATTCAAGCCTCAGCCTGGTCAGGGTGCGTTCGAGAGGCAACCAATCAATGTGTCTCTCTCACATCTCTCTCTCTCTCTCTCTCCCTCCCCCCTCTCTCCCTTTCTTCCTCCCTCCTCCTCCCTCCCTTCCATTCTCTAAAAAAAAAAATAATCCTCAGATGAGAATTAAAAAACAATAAAAAAATAATTGTGAGAGAATCAGATCTCCTCAGGAGGCAGGAATCTCCTAGCTGGGCCAGTATATACATAATCTATCTAGTTAACACAGTTCTGGCCAGGCTGCTAGGACAATGTAAGCTAAAAAGGGACCAGAAGCTCTATCTCTCTGGCCTTTCTCTACCTCCTAACTGTTGCTGACCACTTTGATGCCAAAGCCCAGGGATGACTAAGAGGTCCAGTGGAATTCCATATCTTTGGATTAAAACAGCCACCCACGATCACTGCTTCAGTGCATCAGCCCTATTCCTCATGCAATGTGCCTACAAGTGATAATGAAGATATGTGCAGAATCCAAATTGTGGTTATACTTTTTCCCCCTTCTGGAAAGATGTATATTATAAATCCAGGCCGTAAAATGCTCCCCGACACTTCTCCACACACAAATTTGTTTTTCCTGAAGTATACACAGAAATTTTGTGACTACAAATGTTCTATCAATCAATTATAAAATAGATTTGCACACATTAAATAAACCATGGTCTCACTCATTTGTGGAATATGATGAACAACATAAACTGATGAACAAAAATAGATCCAGAGACACAGAAGCATCAAACAGACCATCAAACCTTAGAGCAGCGGTTCTCAACCTGTGAGTCGCGACCCCTTTGGCGGTCGAACGACCCTTTCACAGGGGTCGCCTAAGACCATCCTGCATATCAGATATTTACATTACGATTCATAACAGTAGCAAGATTACAGTTATGAAGTAGCAACGAAAATAATTTTATGGTTGGGTCACAACATGAGGAACTGTATTTAAAGGGCCAGAAGGTTGAGAACCACTGCCTTAGAGGGAGGGCAGGAGAGTGTGTGTGTGTGGCGGGGGGGGGGGAGTAAGAGATCAACCAAAGGATGTGTATGTATGCATATAAGCATAAACCAATGGACACAGACAGTAGGGGGTAAGGGCCTGTGCTGGGGGGCGGGAGTGGGCTGGGAGAGGTTAATGGGGGAAAGGAGACATATATAATACTTTCAACAATAAAGAATTTATTTTTTAAACAAACCAAAAAAAAGAATTTATTTTTTTTAAAAAAAAACCATGGTACTTACACATAGAGATCCATGGGAAACTCCTTCATCATGTGTGTTACAATAAATTCTACCATCAGGTCTGAATAGGGAAAGGAGAAAAATTAAATCAATCAGAATTAAATTCATTCCTTGCCTTTGAGTTGGAAAAAAACATCTGAGTACACCTTGTACTCATGCTGAGTGGCATCCACTAAGCACATTTTTATTCACATGAACTTAAATTTATTTTACATAAGGCACTTTGGCAACACTTTCACCACCTGCCACTTGTAAAGTAACAAGAAAATTACTTCACTCTCCTACTTCCAGAAGGATGCCTTGACCTGCCAATAAATTCGGATTCAAGGGAGAGTTCGCTGTACAGGTTTTTCATACCATGGTACTAATACAAAATGCCAGCGGGAAATCATATTCTGAGAACCCAGTGAAGAGGTTAGCAGAGAGGAAATTATGGATCACATCCATGTAACCAGAGACTCAGCTCTAAAGCAATGTCTATCTCATGTCACTATTACGCTCAGTTTGACAGATATTGACTGAAAAGGTCCATAAGGCTTTGGATCAATAGAAGTTTATTATACAGTCTTAATCATTGTTTCTCAAGTCAAGTAGATTTAGGAACTAGGGCTTAATATTCAAATGAAGTGAGATTAAGAGTTCAGATCATTCCCCTGAGGAAAATGTAGCATTCTAACAAAATTATCTAAGATATAACTCTGTCAGCCTCATCTCAGTTTAATTTACTCAGAGGAAGTTTTGCAGGCCTTGAACTTCAAGCCTCCTGGCCAGCTGACACATCAATTTGAACCAAGAAAGGGAGGGAAGAATTTGAAATCTTGATCAGGAATAAGGTATTTTACAAATGTAAATCATGTCTCAAGCTCAGCCTTAGTCATTTATCTCCTTAGAAAGATCTTTTTCTTTGAACAAGAGCACCCTTTAGTTGAGCATTTTATTCATTGGAATTGCTTTACCAAACTCAACAAAAAATATGGTTTCTTAGGCCAGGGAAGAAACATAACTAGTAAAAACTTCTCTGAGGAAGAAGTATATCAGCCAGGATCTATGCCTCATCTTATTATTATTTTTTTAATATATTTTATTGATTTTTTTACAGAGAGGAAGGGAGAGGGATAGAGAGTTAGAAACATCGATGAGAGAGAAACATCAATCAGCTGCCTCCTGCACACTCCCTACTGGGTATGTGCCCGCAACCAAGGTACATGCCCTTGCCCGTAATCGAACCTGGGACCCTTGAGTCCGCAGGCCGATGCTCTATCCACTGAGCCAAACCGGTTAGGGCTATGCCTCATCTTAATCATAAAAACCTGTCACTGACTCAGAAAAATGCCAATTATGATGACACTCACCCAGGACTGCACATACTAAAGGACGGCAGGGAAGGTTCTTGTCCGCTGCCTTCTTCCTGTGTCGCATAGGCTTCAAACAAAAAAGAAATGAAATCAATAGGCATCTGAATTGACATCCAATGGCTCATCATGGGTTTCATGCCAATAACATCGCGACTATAGAGATGCTATCTTTTCTAGTGGTGGGGGTGGAGCGGGGCAGGGAGGACTCAAATGCTACTCAGTTATCAATGCAAGCTTATGGTAAAAACACAATTCACAGCAAAATAACAGTCCCAAAGGGTACTGGAGCATACTACACAATGGGAAAGCTGTTATTTTTTACTTTGATTTTACAAGTGACATTACTAACAATAAAAGAGGCATACTAATATTTTTCTTTGATAAAATAATAAAGGGAAAAAAAGAGGACACAGTGACTGTGTAAAGGCAGCAACAGTGGCAGTTACAAAAAACAAAAGTAGTCCTGCCAGTATGGCTCAGTGGTTAAGCGTCAACTTATGAACCAGGAGCTCATGGTTCAATTCCTGGTCAAGGCACATACCCAGGTTTCGGGCTAAATGCCCATAGGGGGCTTGCAGGAGGCAGCTGATCGGTGATTCTCATCATTGATGTTTCTGTTTCTCTCTCCCTTTTCCTTCCTCTCTCTGAAATCAATAAAAACATATTTAAAAAAAAGATTTTTTTAAAAAAGTAAGTTTCATATATAAACTTCTATGTGATATTTTTTAACATACCTCCAAGTTTTAGGAAATTTCCTGATCCTTCATATTATATTTCCCTCACTATTTAGATGAATAAACAAAAGCAGCATTTAGTTTTTGTTTTTGTTTTTTTTCTTTGTGTCCTTGACTGGAATCGAACCCGGGACCCTTCCGTCTGCAGGCCGACGCTCTATCCACTGAGCCAAACCGGTCAGGGCAGCAGCATTTAGTCTTAACTAACCAAAGATCATACTACATTTTAAAAATAAAAGGCTTAGGCCCATCTCCTTGTTAAAATCTATGTTACTTATACATTCTAATATTGCTACCATGGGTAATAATCCATCCTCTCTTGAGTCAAAAACAGCTCCATGACACACATAAAAATCCCGACAACAGGCATGGGTTTGTTGAGTAGCGGTCAAGCAAGAGCCCTTTAGCACAACATTCTACCCATATTTGTTGTAAGTAGGATCAAGTTCATCCACCCCAATCCTGCGAACACAAAAAAAATTTCCTCCAAGAAAAAACAAGAAGCAAAAAGTCATACCTACCATTTTATGTAAGTTTACTCGAAAATTCATGTTGTCATCATGCAAAAATGCATTGGCATACTGATCCTAATAAAAATAAAAATACAGAGACAAAGTAAGGAATGAGAGCCATACTTCAGTTTGTAATCTATCACACTTCCTACAAATCCTTGGTCTTTAAGAACTACTTTCAAGGACCAATTGGAGAGCTAACAAGATGAACCTAGAGCCTTTATGTCAAACCCTACTTAAGCCATGAGATTTTACTATGGAGTAATTCTCAGTATGTCTCTAACTGGACCAAAAACGCTAAGCAAATTACACACAATAAAAATTAAGGCACAGGGACTTGAAGCAAATGCTGAGAAGAATCTGTTTTCCTATTCTCTCTTCCTTCCCATCTGCCCAAGGAGCCTGCTCTGTTTGTGGCAGCTTGAAGGTTCCATAGGGGCTGCAGGATGCATGTGCAGGCTCCACGGGAGGATCTACAATTGAGAAGAAAGGTCTGCATCCACTGGGAACGGGTTTGGCATAGCAGAAGAAAACTGCTACACAGGCAGCATGGCAGTAGGCAAGACCCTGTCTATCTCTGGCTTCACCAAAGACTGATGGGAAATCAAAAACATCTCACCATGGATCAGTAATAAACATCCCTTGGCCCTTTCCCAACACCTTAGTTGAAGATCTGACATGCCTATAGACTAATTACTAAGAACTGTTACAATTTGTGAAAAACAACTCCTTTAAAGATTTTCTTAGAACCAGCCAGCGTAGCTCAGTAGTTGAGCATCAACCTATGAAGTAGGAGGTCACGGTTTGATTCCCAATCAGGGCACATGACCTTTTGGGCTTGATCCCCCATGGGGACTGTGCAGGAAGCAGCTGATCAATGATTCTCATCATTGATGTTTCTATCTCTCTCTCCCTCTCCCTTCCTCTCTGAAGTCAATAAAAATGTTTTAAAATATATTTTATTGATTTTTTTTTTTTACAGAGAGGAAGGGAGAGGGAGAAGGATAGAGAGTTAGAAACATCGATGAGAGAGAAACATCGATTCAGCTGTTTCCTGCACACTCCCTACTGGGGATGTGCCTGAAACCAAGGTACATGCCCTTGACCGGAATCAAACCTGGGACCCTTCAATCCACAGGCCGATGCTCTATCCACTGAGCCAAACCGGTTAGGGCAATAAAAATATTTTTAAAATATTTTCTTAGAAAGATTTTTGAAAAGCAATTACACCGGCCCACTGTTAATCAGCAGCTCTTCTATAACAAGCTATCCCTAACGTAGTGAAAAGGTCATCTTTTCACAGAGAACGTAAAAAGGGGAAGACTGAGAGAGATCTCTCTCTATTCCACATAGATCACCTTTAATGATTTAATGAAGGGGGAGGTTGAAGCTACAATTTAGCTCTAAAATTGACTCAAGTTCTGCCATACCTGTGTTGCCACCAAGATCCAGGGTAAGTTCAGGACTAATTAATCCAAGCAAAAGTACCTCCTTACAAAGCAAAAGCACCTCTTCTTTAACTCCTCAGAATCTTGTTCACCAAACTGCATTCAGCCCAACTTCACTCACTTTCCAATTGCCTTCTTTGGTTTTTCTCTCCACCTTCCCCCACAGAAACCTGAGCTCCTTTTTTCATTTTGTGAAGTGGAAAAGACCCGATCTGAGCAGCTTCAAAGGGGCAGGATTATATTTTCTAAAGAGGGTGAGGTCTCTCAAACTATTAAGAGCTAGAATCTGCCCTGGTCTGTTGCTCAATGGTTAGAGAGTTGGCGCTCAGACTGAAGGATCAAGGGATCGATTCCCGGTCAAGGGCATGTACTTTGGTTGCAGGTTCAATCCCTTGCCCTGGTCAGGATGCAAGCAGGAGGCAACCAATCAATGTGTCTCTTTCACATCAATGTTTCTCTCTCTCCTCTACCCCTTCCACTCTCTCTTAAAAACAAAAATAGTAATAAGGGCTAGAATCTTCCAGTTCTCAATTACAGCATGTCATAATTCATGCAGTAAATATTAATTGAGCCTCTACTGTGTGCCAGACACTGAGAATAGACTGGTGAGGGAGACAGAATACCTGCTATCAGAGTTTACATTCTAGCAGGAGGAGACAGACAATAAAAAAGGGGCATATTTTCTCTCCCAAGCTTTAGGACCTTAAAAGTCAGGAACTGTGTGAGAAAGGCAGAAAAAGATAGCACTTTGTAAGAAATGAGCTAATACCAGAAGATAGATGAAACCTACCTCTGCAATACATGTGAGGATAATCAGGCAGAGTTTGCCGCTATGAAGCCGGTGCTCATCTGTAAAATAAAAATAAAACCTTCTCTCTAAACCATCCATACCATGTTTCTATTAGAAGAGAATACAGATGTGTATCATCAAAAAGAACATTCATTCTTTCTTTCCCCACAAAAATTCATGAATTCATGAATCAAGGTTCTACTAAAGTAATTCTTGCTTTTCTTCTCCCAGATTTTTTTCCTTAAATATTCTTGGTAGTATGATGGACAGATAACTACCTTCTGAGAGCCATCTAATTACTGTAATGGTTCTACTGTCATGGCCAAAATCATGGCCATGTCCTTAGCTTTCTTATCAGCCCTTTGCTTCTCAATAGTCAGGCCCATTCCCTTTCCAACACTTCCTCATCCACTAGCCATTAGCAACACCATCTATACCCACCTAACTATTCATAGCAAATTGGCAGTGGAATCAGAAAGAACTAATTGGAGATCAGGGTCAAGCCCATGCTTCTCCTTGCACTGTGCACATTATTTACAAACAGGAAAGCTGTGAACTGGATCATTTTTCTTCCTGCCAAAGTCATTCACTCTATATACTTACTTAGTACCTACTATATAGCAGGCAGTGCACTGGGCACTGAACAAAACAAAGGACCCTGGTCTCCCAGAACTCACATTCTAGTTATTAAAAGAGAAGAAAACAACTTTGAGAGTAGGGCTCTAAGCCCCACTCAGGACCAGGAAAGAGCTACTCCATCCCCTCCAATTACCAGAACCATCAAAGCTTATTTACTTTCAAGGATCTTTGTGGGTGAGGGGGTGAAATGGAGGTAAGAAGAGGTGCACACCAACTTATCCAAAATAGACAAATGGCTTATGATGTTTCAGATTAGCTCTGACAGGACACAGATTGAAGTTCATTCTGGAGAGGAGGTCTATTAACAGATTACAGTGCTATAGTAAAGTGAGCTAACATACTTACCCTAACATTAACCTGCTACTTCCTCAAAGATGGAATCTATCAACTAAAACCTGACAATTAAAAAGCTTAATGGAGGTTGTAGTCCAGAAATACATCTACCTCTCCTCGGAGATAGGCGGTGCAAAAAGAGTAATGACGACACTCCCCAGCTGACATTCCCCATAGCTTACACCAGAGCCCCAGGCAGGGAAAGAGAAGTGCCCCTGCCATGCAAACCTAGATTCATGACACTCTTCTACCTCTACCTCTGGCCACAGAGTTTCTCTGGCATTATTCTCCCTTCCCCCAAAATCTGATGAGCAACTCTCATAGGAAAGCCTACGGCTACTTCTCCACTTTTAAAAATAATGTTTCTGAATGCAAAAATAAGGCATATTTTATTATGAACATTTTTTAATTCAGAAAAGGACAATAAAAACTAAGCTTAATCATACCACCCAGATGTCATATCTGTTAAAATTTTGGTGAATCAACTTGCAGTCCATGTATAGATATACATGTATTTTTAAGTATTTTTGCCTAATGTCTATTTTAAAGATTAAGCAGATTATCCTTTAAAGTGACACTACTCAAGTCAGAAGAACCTCAGAGGGAAAAAAGACTTTGAAAGCAGAGCCAAATCAAGGGAGAGATAAACACAAAATTCTGGAGAATTGAGAGGAAAGGAATAACTGAGAGGAAAGGAGACACACAGGTAGCTTCCATGTCATTAATAATTGCTTAAGTTGGGTGGTAGGTTCACATATGTTCACTTTATTATTATACATTATAACGTATGCTATTTATATACTTATAAACTTTATAACAATATTCATATATATTAAAAGCATATGTATTTATATCTATAACAATAAAAGCATAATATGCTAATTAGACCGGACATCCTTCCGGACGTCCCTCTGGAAGACCTGGGGCTGTGAGGGAAGCCCGGGTCCTGGGTGCCAGAGGGAAGCCGGTGCCAGCAGCTGGGGGAAGGAAGGCCTATTCTTGCATGAATTTCGTGCATCTGGCCTCTAGTATATAAAATGATAGATAATGGAGAAAAAAACGTAATTCCCGGAGAGGCTGGGGGCAGAGGAAGCAGAGCCAAGAATAAATGGCTTCTATGCTCCCCAAAACATAATGAGATCTCTTTAGCAAGGGCATGCAGGTCAGGAGCTTAAGAGACAGGAAGAAAGCCAGTCCAATGAAGCCACACAGGAGCCATTTTTGAAATTAACACTTCATCATACCTAACCTTGCCCCTTGCCATATTTAGGCTGCTTGTTGGCAAAGACCTAATCCAGCCTGTGTTTAGAGAAACAGCCTGAGGCAAACCATAGTGCAATTAATCTGCCCTCAATTTTGCCTTCCATTTCATGGATGGCAAAATGACCAGGACAAAGAGGTTTATATAATCATTAAAGCTAAAAATGAGTTCCCAGGGCCTCAATTCACTGTGTTATATCAAGCAAAGCTAAAAGATCATTTTCAGGGTCACATCTACAGTTTCTCTTTGCTGCAATATGTTGAGAGAAACAAAAAGGTTACCCCTTCCCATAAAGGAGAAGCAATGGCCTCCGGAAACACTGATACACAAGAGTCTTATTATCCTTGCCAAGTCCCCAAGGTTCACCATCTCTGCAGCTCCCAATGGACTGCCCTATGTTAGGAGTTTGTGATATGGGCTTCTAGCATCTCTCTTGAAAGAGCACACTCACAGGCATAACAGAAGAAAAAGTCTAAGTTTATAAGGCAGAAATCTCCAAGAGCTAATGCAGTATGTATGAGTGTAACAGGATTTAGATTCTGCCCACCCAGCTTCCTTTGAACTCTGGCGATTTATTTCCCTTATTTACCTTTTAGTTTTTTAGCTCTGTCTACCAATGTTTCCTTCTAACTCCAAAAGCCCCCATACCCTGGTCTTACCCTCTTATGCTGCTTTTCGGCTCCATTCTGGAATTCCTGAAACCTGTCCACCCTGGCAAATACTTAATGCCTAAGGGAATCTTAAACTACCTCACAAAGCATTAGTCTCTCCTCATGGAAAGTAAAGTGACAAAAGCAATAGTATTTTAGCAATTTTGTTTCTACAATGGAACTGGATTTTTTGTTATCTGGGAATCTGAAGCTTATCCATAGACCATAATTTAAGAACCCAAAACAAACTTCAACTGCTGAGCAGAGAGAACAGTTGGTTTCTAAAATAGGATTTAAAGATTCTTACAAGAAAGGCTAATTTTAAAAAAGAATATACACCAACTTGTTAAGAATAATTAATTCTAAAGAGTTTAATTCCAAAAAGATTTCACTTTGCTAGTTAACCATTGCTAGAATGCTTTATTTTTAACAAATACTATTCAAATTACTTTTGTAATTAGGGAAAAAATATATTTGTAAATGGGAGAAGCCCACTGGATCAACCAGTAGGTACTAAATAAATGCTAGTTAAAATATTCATTGAAATGCTATGTGTGGCCTGGGATATGTGCCTCAGTGATTGAGCATCAGCCTATGAACCAGGCGGTGGCAGTTCCATTACCATTTGGGGCACCGTGCTCGAGGTTTTGGGCTCGATCCCCAGCAGGGGGCGTGCAGGAGGCAGCCAATCATTAACTCTCATCATTGATGTTTCTATTTCTCTATCCCTCTCCCTTCCTCTCTGAAATCAATTTTAAAAAAATTTTAAATGCTATGTGTGGCTAAGAAACTATCAGTTATGAAAAACATTTTTGGGACAACTGGGAAAAAACTAAATATCAACTGACTATTACATGATATTAGAGAATTATTGTTGATTTTCTTAGCTATAATAATGGATATCTTGGAAAAGTCTTTAATTTTGATATACATGCCAAAGTACTTAAGGTGTGAAGTAGAATGATGTCTACAAATTAACTTAAAATGATTCAGCCAAAATAATAACACACAAATAAATTTAGAGACAAACCAAATATGGCAAAATGTTAATGGGTACATGAGTGATCACTGTACGATCCTTTCAACTTCTCTGTATATTGGAATTTTTTCACTTTAAAAATTTGGAGGAAAAATACTATCTAAAAGGTTTATTTCCAGAAAATCCCACTTATATGAGGTACCTAGAGTAGTCAATTCATAAAGACAGAAAGTAAAACGGTGGGCAGGGAGGGAGGTGGATGGAGGTGGAAGACAGGGCATAGAGGGGATAAATGGTGATGGAAAAATAAAATTAAATTTAAAAAATAAAACTGAGTTCCTGATCAGTACGGCAAAAAAAAAAAAAAAATAGAGTGGAATGGTGGGCTGGGGAAAGGAGAGACTATAGAGAATGCAGAGTTAGTGTTTAACAGGTACAGAGTTTCAGTTTTGCAAGATGAAAGAGTTCAGGAGATGGTGGTGATGGTTGCACAATAATGTAAATGTACTTAATGCCAGTGAATTGTACAGTTTTAAGTGGTAGGTTTTATGTTATGTATATTTTAGCACAATAAAAAATAATAGAAATAAATAAAAATTGTGAACACAGATATATCTAGTATAAAGAAAAAAACTGAGTTAAAAAAACACAAAACTGAGATATATATTTAATGGAATTTGCCAGTTTCCTCCCAATCCTTTTTCACCCCTAGCCCAAAGATTCTACTACCCTACCACCAATTAAAAGATCATAGAAAAACCATAACAGAAAGAACAGGAACCCAAACAGAATAAACTCAAACTTTCCCATCACCCATTTTTCTCCCACTTTCCTTCTGCATTTCTGGATGGGTACTGACACTTTTATTTTAAGTGTTAAGGAACATAGTCCCTCTGAATCTCACCTCTTCCTACTGTACTCTGTGCAACAGTCCTCTAATTCTCACCACAAGCTGGTGCTTTCAATTCTTGTCCTCAAAAGGGAATTCCCTGAAGTATGCTAATCCCCCCACTTCCCACACAAAAGAGTTTGCATCTACTTACCAAAATCTGCTAAGAAGACTTGCTAGTTTTTGTAGAGACCATTTTTTTTCTGTTCTATTTTGTAGCACTCCCCCTCCAGCTGCAGGTTTTCCTAACACCACCTAACTGCCATCTGGCAGTGAGAAATCACTGTTTTCCAGTAATCAGGACCATCACCCTGCACAGGAGGCCCCAATAGTTCACCTGTGGAAGCTTCCAAGTATTAATGCTGCTCCTTGATTCTAGCTAAGAATTCTGCCACACCTCCTGCTTCCTGAGCTCCCGAAGCAGCATGTCTTCCTTACCTTTGGTGTCCTGCATGACAATCGAGCTATATTTTAAGAAGGTTATCAGTAGATTACTGGTCTGTACATCTGCATCCAGTGGGAGTTCCACAGAACTTATAACTGCAATAGAACAAAGAAATGCAGTTAGCCTATATTACTTAACACTTCTACCTCCGTAGCCAATTTGCCAGCAGACAAGGAAATCACTAAATAAGCTTTTTCTGCAACAGAGAGACCAAATGCTTATCATAAAACCTTTACCTTCCTAGGCCCTTGGAGTCCTTCCAAGATTAAACCCAATGCCCTTCTCTCCTATCTAGGAGGGCCAGTCTCCAGGAACAGTGCTTTTATCCCAACATCCTAAGAAGGGTATATTTTTTCAGTTACAGTTTACATTCAATATTATTTTGTATTAATTTCAGTTATACAGCACAGTGGTTAGACAATCATATACTTTTCAAAGTATTTCCCCCAATATTTCCAGTACTAAAAAGGGTATTTTGATTCCACTTCTAACTCCAAATAACCCAAAAAGATTCAGGGTCCTTCTTAAACGCACTTTGATTTGTACCTAAGGGAAAGATCTGTACTAAATATAAATGAGTTTTGCTTTGATGAGTCTTCCTGCTTAAAATAAATGACAATTATTTCCTAATAAGGAGAAATCTTGCTCAATTTTGAGAATAAGCTCTTAGGCTGGAAATACCCAAGACGGAAGGCAGAACTACATTCAAATGATACTCCTTAGTCCCTTACCCCCAGTGAAAGGGAGCCTAAAAGGAAATACCAGAAAACAGGATGACATTATTATTTGAGACAGCCTGGGAACTGACTTTTATACACCCAGCTGCTTGCTGTTTCCCAAAGAAACTAACCCCTCCATGGCTCCCATTCTCTAAGCCACAGTCCCAATGACCAGTGAAGAACCAGACCAGGGCTGACCCGCACTGAACAATCTTATGTAGATCCCCCAAGTTTCTAGGACTTTAAATTAGACTTAGACATTTTGGTAAGTGCTTTTACACTCAGACATAATACATAAGCAAAAGGAGGCTGATAATGGCCCAGATAAGCTAGAGAATCTATAGCTCCCTGCTGTATTTCCATCCATGAAGACTCAACTGAGTTTGGGATATTATTCATAATATGTATTCATACCATCATGGATCCCTCTGGAGTTATTATGATATATGCATAGAATGTTTATTAACAATGGGAAATATTTGCATATTATCGATCCATAATACAGAGCAAGCACAGCAAAAAGCCTCATGAGAAGAAATTAGCATGCCCCACCCTTGGCTGTTTTCCCACAGTTCAGCCCCCAAAAACTAATAAAAGACAAATATAGCCCTAGCCGGTTTGACTTAGTGGACAGAGTGTCAGCCTGTGGAGTGAAGGGTCCCAGGTTCGATTCCAGTCAAGGGCACATGCCCGGTTTATGGGCTCAATCCCCAGGGGGGAGGTGTGCAGGAGGCGGCCAATCAATGATTCTCTCTCATCACTGATGTTTCTATCTCCCTCTCCCTTCCTCTCTGAAGTCAATGGAAATACATATTTTTTAAAAAGACAAATATATTTTTACGTTGCAATACTAAAAGGTCTTAATTCATGCTACAGGTAAATGACCTGAAACTGTCATTTCAAACTACTACAGCCTATTTTGAAGCTCAGAGCCCATAATCATTCTTTTGTCCAATACATCTAACTGGTAGGTGGGACTTTTTCCCCATCCACTCACAGCAATAACTGGAAAACTATCTATATATATAAAAGCCAAGCGACTGGAACGCCAGAACTGGAACAGCCGGTTGCTATGACATGCACTGCAGCGGCCAACCAGCCCAATCAGGGCCCCAACTGGCCCCCCCGCAACCTCCCGCAGCCCCTCCCCCCAGCTGGCCTAGCCCCCAATAGGTGTCCCCTACCCCAATCAGAAGCGGGATGACTGGCCAACCTCCCACAGCCCCCCCACCAGCCCTGCCCCTGATAAGCCCCTCCATCAGGGCGGGGCCGGCTGACCTCCTGCGGCCCCCCCCCCCCCCCCCGCCAGCCCAGCCCTGATCGGCCCCCATAGGGGTGGGGCAGCCAGACCCCACCCATACATGAATTCGTACACTGGGCCTCTAGTCTTATATAATATGTAGAAATGTAAAAGTATATGTATTTTTACTTTACCAGAAAGTCCTCTCATGCCAAGGCTGAGTTGTCAAATGTCAAGTCTGAGCTGAGAACAAATGTTACAGCTAAACTGTTGGCTTTGAGTGATATACCTTTAAATATAACTGGGCTACTGAACACCACTATAATTAAGAACCAAAACCTAAAAACAAGGTTATAATATTTAGGACCCCTATAGAAAGGAAATGAATTAGGAGGAAAAATAATAAAAATAGCCCTAGCCAGTTTGGCTCAATGAATAGAGCATCAGCCTGCAGACTGAAGAGTCCCAGGTACGATTCCAGTCAAGGGCACATACCTGTTGCAGCTTGATCCCCAGCCCTGATCCTGGTGAGGGCGCATGGGGAAGGCAACCAATCGATGTGTCTCTCTCACATCAATGTTTCTTTCTCTCCCCCTCCTTTTCACTCTCTCTACAAATCAATAGAAAAATATCCCCGGGTGAGGATTAACAACAACAAAAAGAACAAAATAGAAGAGAAAGAATAAAATCCCTCACAAATTAAAATCTCCTTCCTAAGGAAATTTTCCTTGATCTCTGTCTTCATAATTCTTTCCAGCAGCCTTTGTCAAGGGAGACAGTCATTTGAAAGTGGGCTGACTCCATCTTCCCACTAGAAAAAATAAAAAGCTCACTAGTTGTAGGTAAGTAAGCATAAATCCTGCCATTGCATAATCAAGTGTGTGGGTGGAAGTGCTCACAATGAACAGTTTGAAAGGCAGTTCTCTGAAGCATCCAAAGCCCAACATCACATGGAACTCAGATATGTGTGTGTGTGTGTGTGTGTGTGTGTGTGTGTATCCATGGTAACCAGGCAGGCTTTATCCTTAAAGAAAAAGAACAGTATTTCCATTGGATTATTCAGTGACCTGAATAAGCAGAGACAATTAGGCAATCCTCATTACTTGTTCCTTCTCATTAAAATATTTTGGAATTTGTCTTTCAATTTTAAACAGATCCAATTTGCTACCATAGACCTGAATATCAACAGCACCTCCTTGTCATGCTTCTGCATGAATACTGCTTTACTACCTTGAAATGCTACTGCCACAAGTCCAATATGAAAATTTAAACGCAAGAGAGCAGATCAAAGAGGTCATTTCACATAGAGACAACAGGGAAGCATAAAAAAAAGATCAAAGTTAGATTTCCTGTATTTCTTTTTTTTTAATACGTTTTTATTGATTTTAGAGAGAAAGGAAGGGAGAAGGAGAGAGAGATAGAAACATCAACAATGAAAGGGAATCATCGATAGGCTGCCTCCTGCATGCCCTACACTGGGGATCAAGCCCAAACCCCAGGCATGTGCCCTGACAGAAAATCGAACCGTGACCTCCTGGTTCATGGGTCGATGCTCAACCACTGAGCCACACCTGTCAGGCTTATTTCCTGTATTTCTTTACCCAAAACGTGGTCAACATTTGAGGCAAAACATCAAGCATTAACAAAGATTAATTTTTAATTTTTGGTTAAGGTAGTCCATCAAACACACTCAGCTTACAGTAAAACTAACTCAGGTGATATACAGTTTATTGGACAAAATTCATAATTTCTTTTCTGTTACCTTTTTCTTAAGTTACAACCATAAGATTTATACAGTGGAAGGTTTTTTTGTTATTTTTTAGGGGGACAAGTCTTAAATACCCACCAAACTCCCATCAAATCTAGTCATTTTCTAAGGGGGAATGGCTAACAAACACATAACAGTGAGTAAATCCCAGGTTCACTCTCTCATTCATTTATTCAACTAATATTTACTAAGTAATAACCATGCCAGGCACTATACTGAGCAGAAAGTAGTGATAAAAATATACACGGTTCCCTGCCTTGATTCATGTCTTGGTTCTTAATTGCAACTCTCACTAACCTTAGGCAAACCACTTATTTCTCTGGCCTCAATTCCCTCATTTGTCAAATCCTATATAATAAAAAGGTAATGTGCAAATTAACCATCATGTCCTCGCACAAGATGGCCGCCCCCATGTGGTCAAAAGATGGCCGCCACAAGATGGCCAACAGGGGAGGGCAGTTAGGGGTGACCGGGCCGGCAGGGGAGGGCAGTTGTGGGGGACCAGGCCGGCAGGGGAGGGCAGATGGGGGTGAAATCAGGCTGGCAGGGGAAGGCAGTGTGGGCGATTGGGCCGGCAGGGGAGGGCAGTTGGGGGCGATCGGGCCAGCAGGGGAGGGCAGTTGGGGACGATCTGGCCAGCAGGGGAGCAGTTAGGCGTCGATCAGGCTGGCAGGAGAGTGGTTAGGGGGTGATCAGGCTGGCAGGCAGAAGCGGTTAGGGGCAATCAGGCAGGCGAGCAGTTGGGAGCCAGCAGTCCCAGATTGGAGAGGGTACAGGCTGGGCTGAGGGACACCCCCCCCTCCCCAGTGCACGATTTTCGTGCACCAGGCTTCTAGTAGTAACATAAGATAACATTACAATTTCACATTTATGTCAGTGAGATATTCATAACATATGTCATCTGAGTCTCACAAGTACCCTGAGAGTTTGGCAAGGCAGGCATCACTGACCTCTGAGGTCCTTTTAAGACCTAGCACTTCATGACTTCATGACTCAACGATTTCCTGAGGAGGACATGCTGGAATTATGTAGCTTCTGACACAGAGAAAAGTACTTAACTATCTTTTCCAAAGTTTTCTTTGGAGCTTAAGGAGTCCTGAAGGGCAGTATTTTTCAGACAATTTCTTAAGTGAAACAATAGACAACTGTGTTCTTTGTTCAACACAACTATGCTCACCCTGAAAGATTCAAAACTATATTAATCAAGAAAACAAAAGAGGCTGTGGGCTTACCATCAGAGGAGGGCGGTGTGGTACCAAGTGGTGTGGCTGGGGTTGTTGGAGCGGGACTGACAGGGGTTGTCACCAAGCCTATCTCTGGATGACTCTGAAAAAGAACACAGATGGGTAAGGAGAGAAAATCCAGTTCCGAGTATCCTCTTATTAATATCCTTTCTGGTATCCCTGGCCTCAGAGACAGACAGCTCACTGAGGGGGGACTGCTTCAACATTTAGTTCCCATGACTACCTGATTACTGTTGATGCTTGCTAAACACTAACAAGAAGCTCTGTGGGCTAGTTCTTTCTAAGCAACCAAGATCTCATTATATAAGCTTTTCTGTAGAACCATACAAATAAAAAACTGGACTAAACAAATACATAGGATTATTCTACAAAAAAAAGGGGGAGGCATTTGCAGTCCTATCTAAACCTGAAAAAGACTACTCTCATCAGCTCAACCTCATTTACAGATTATTCTGATGATCACATAGTTGATAATAAATGCAGGTGAGCCAAGAGGATAACAGGTACTATAAAAAGAGCTATGCAGGTGATAGCCTTCCTGTTCCACAACAAATTAAGAGTGTGTGGGATGGGGAAGTAAAGACACAAGGTACACATACACTGGGGACCAAAACAGATGGCTCCTCTGTCCCTGACCTTCTTTAACCACCCCTGCCACATCAGCTCTTCAGAATTAAGCTGAGTGGGAGCCACTCACTCCTCCCCAACAGCTTTACCAACCTTTTATTTCCTTTAAAATCAGTTAGTTATAGAATTCAGAAAGCACATAAGGAACATAGTGAGAATAGTAAATAAAGTCTCATGTTATCAGTTGTGAAAAATTATGTGTCCTCCTAAGCAGACCCCAAAGCAGCACACTGCTTTTTGAGCATGGCTTATTTTTGTTAAACTCAATCTCATACACATCTGCCCTTTGAGAAAAAAACATAAGCAAATCTTCCTTTAAAAGAAACCTAAGCCCGGCCAGTGTTGCTCAGTGGTTGAGCGTTGACCTATGAACCAGGAGGTCATAGTTCAATTCCCGGTCAGGGCCCGTGCCCAGGGTGCTGGTTCATCCCCAGTGTGGCGAATGTGGGAAGTGGCTGATTGATGACTCTCTCTCATCAGTGTTGTTTCTGTCTCTCTCTCTCCCTATCCCTTCCTCTCTGAAATCAATAAAAATATATTTTTTAAGTATGTATTAGGTTTCTTTTATTTTTACATATATATGTCTGTGTATACACAGACACACACACACACACACACACACACACACACACACACATACATATATTTAATTTTACAGCTAAACCGGGTTGCAGGCTTGATCCCTAGAAGGGGGTTACAGGAGGCAGCCAATCAGTGTTTCTCTCTCTTTCCTTCTCCCTTCCTCTCTCTCTAAAATCCAATAAACTGGGAGTGGGTGGAAGAGATTAACCAATGAACTTATATGCATATATACATAACCCATGTACACAGACAATAGTGGGATAAAGGACTGGGGGGGATGGGGGCAGGCTAAAAGGGGTTAATGGGGAAAAGGGGGACATGTGTAATATTTCAACAATAAAGTTTTTTTTTTAATCAATAAACTATTCCTTAAAAAAGAAAAAAATCCATATGGGTTGATAATACCAAGGGATTTCCAGTGAGCCAAATGAAGTAATCTCAACTCATCTGGGTTAACAGAATCAGTAAAAACTTTACATGTTATCCGACCCACTTTGCACCAGATGGAAACATACATATCCGAGGATAGCACGAAGCAAAAGCAACTGATGCAACTCTGTGTTACCACCACTTACCAATGCAAAGCAGGGCTTAAACAGGCAAAGCCAGAAGGCTTGTCAAGGGAATGAATCTGTAGGAAATTCAGGAAGAAAAAGGATTGGAGTTTTTAATATAACCAACCTGAGCTAACACTGTGATGAAGTTGCGATTTAAATGAACAGCTTCATAAAGTGCCAGGAGGATGGCCTCATTGGTTCTAAAGAAAAAGAGAACAAAGTGAAGAGGCTCTTATAATGGAGAAGTTAGAACAATATAACCATCAAGATAAGATTTCACCCCAGCTCCCCATTATCAATCCTCTGGAATTTCTGATGCTCCTTTTATTTCCTCCCTGCCCCAATATGTAAAGTGTATATAGGCAAAGAGAAAAAAGTAAAGAGCCTTAACTTTAATTACTTAGCTCTTATCTACTTCATTCACTATTTTCACTCTCACTGCTTCACCCCAATCCAGTTAAGTCCTTAACTGGCTCAGATACCCAGCCCTCTTGCATTCCACTTCAAAGATAGCTGGAAATAGTTTCTCAGCTTCCTGGGGCTCAATACACAGGAACCAAAGTAGAGGTTCCTAAGAGTCCATTCTCAAGAAACACTTGATATATCACCAAGAAAGTGTGAATCTATAAAAGATTAACAAGAGGTAACGTTTCACACTCCCACCCACAGTTGGTGAGCCCACATTAAGTTCAAGTCATTGCACAAGAATGTCAGGCACTTACTGTACTGAGATTTTCTCATGGGCATCTGCTATGAACATGTTGCCCACCTGTGGAAGAAGAGGGGAATTGCACACTTACAGCAGGAAAATTTAAGAAGCCATTAATCAGTGAAAAAACAAGCTACTTGCTGCCCAAGGGAATTTGGAGCTCTGGCCCACCAGTCATACATACACAAAAAAATCAGCCCACTTTGAAGATCTTAAAAGAATCGTAAGTAATAAATGAAATAATGAGAACTCCAAATCATCTTTCTTAAAGAGACTTAAAAACAATCCTTGTACTTTGTCCAGCTCTCCTTTTCAATTTAAATTTAGTAACCACTGACAGGGAGTAAATGTTAACCTAGACCAGTAGTCGGCAAACCCATTAGTCAACAGAGCCAAATATCAACAGTACTTCTTCAAAATAGATTCGCCCAGGCTGAAAACCGACTTCTGCGCATGGGCCACAAAGTTTCAATCGCACTGTATGTGCGCCTGCACGTGGTATTTTGTGGAAGAGCCACACTCAAGGGGCCAAAAAGCCGCATGTGGCTTGCGAGCCCCAGTTTGCCAACCACGGACCTAGACCATCATTCTGCATCTTTCCTGGAAGTTGCTTTGTTAAAGTCAAAAACTAATTCCTGCCCAGCCAGAGTGACTCAATGGTTAAGCGTCATCAACTCATGAACCCGGTCACGGTTTGATTCCCAGTCAGGGCACATGCCCAGGTTGCAGGCTCAATCCCCATTGGGAGGTATGCAGGAGGCAGCCAATCAATGATTCTCTCTCATCATTGATGTTTCTATCCCTCTCTCCCTCTCCCTTCCTCTTTGAAATCAATAAAAATACATTTTTTAAAAACTAATTCATAAAGAACATCACAGAAAGTAGGCTAATTTCATCCAACATAGAGCCATCTTCCGGGGAATAATTGAATTTCAGACCAAAACTGTCTATGTGAAATCCATGGTCCATCTATCAGATCACAAAATTTTTAGAGTGTGTCCTAGGGAGGGCAGCCAAATAAGTAAATGTTGCCTCCAATATGGTTAGAAGCATCGAGAAAGATGCCCATCCCTCTAAAAATACTGTTCCACCTGTTTACTGATGTACAATACAAAACTATGCAGCTGGAGTTTCATTTGTTTGTTACAAAACTTTTTCTTCTTGACTAAATGGCAAAGATCCTTGAGAGCAATATAATTATATCTAAGTCATTTAACCAAACACCAATACAGCACCCTTACTGCTCTGACCTCTGAGAGACTTTAGTTATTGATGTTTCAGAGTTAAAGAGCTTATCAAGTCCTTCCTGAGAGTAGACTCTAAGAAAGAAGAAGGGCATAGGCATTTGGGGTGGGGAGGATTGACTTTTGGGGGGTAGAGGGATGACTGTTTCTTGCAATGAACTCAAAACTATCTTGCTCTAGTCCTTGACCAGCTAGCTCAGTTGGTTAGAGCATCATCCCGATATGCCAAGGTTGTGGGTTTGACCCACAGGCAAGGCACATTATAAAATCAACCAATGGGGGGAAAAGGAGGATCTATGTAATACTTTCAACAATAAAAATTTAAAAAAAAAAAAAAGAAAGATCATCAATGAAACATAAATAAGTGGACCACAAACTATGTTTCCTTCTCTCTCTAAAATCAATCAATATAAAAAAAATATTTTTAATTGTCTTGCACTAGGGCTGATTATTTGACTACTAATGCCCAAGGAGACTTTCTGAATCTGCCTAGAGTCTAAGACTTGCTAGATTTATCTCTTAAAAATTAGTCACAGATTATCTGGCCCAAAATGCCTATGATGCCGAAGTTGAGAAACCTTGCTCAGCAGTCTTGTAAAGTAGACCAGTAACTTCCCTAGACCATGGACCTCTCAGCCCATTAAGCCTTTAGGCGGGTGGCTCAGATCCACAGCACCAATCCCTCGACTCCAGGAACAGCTACGAGGAAACAAGTGGCCACAGCACACAGCCAAGGAGCACTCAGGGTTCTATTCGGATCTAAACCCTCCTATTCTATGTTCCATAGGGTTGGTCTTCAAACAAAGCCAACTCTTTAGAAAGCAGAAGTCTGGCTTAATATGTAACTTTATTGTAGCCTTAAAAACTAAATTAATTAATTTGAAAAAATCTATCTCAGCGAAATCGAAGCTCTTCTTTCTCCTTACTTCAGTTTGGAAATCACTAAGAGATACAGCTCTCAAAATAATCTGTTCTGAGTAGCCCTCTCACTCCCCTCATCATGCCATCACCTCAAACTTCTGAGTCCAGATTTGTCTACCCCTACAGACCTCTTACATTTCTGAATGGTAGAGAAAAAATTAGTAGGACTTACCATATTTGTTAAAGCAGAGAAAAAACCGCTCTGGTGTTCTTCTTCCTTGTCTTTATACTGCCTAAAGAAAAATAACTAAATTCAACTTTAGTATTATTTATCAAGTATGTCTTTGTCCTTAGCATTCTAGGTAATCAAAGCAGGACACTCATAGAATTCACTGACTCCAGAAAATAAACGCACTATGACAATCTAGTCACTGCAGTTTCTCCTGCAAGCTAAAAGGCACCCATCTGCTCTTGAGGTAGTGTGTACCAAAATGCCTGGCTACTTTGGTAGAGACTTAGAAAGCAAGCTGCAAAAGTGTGAAACTACTCTAACATATGGCTGATCCAGTTATTTCCCAAACAGACTATTACTTGAAAAGTGTGACAGTGAAATTACTTCAAGGCTGTAATAGTGAAAATCACGTTTGTTTTTAAAGGAAGAGAACGGAAGTAATCTGTAAGCTAAACTATTTGTGGAGATGGGACAGATTTTAAATTCCAACACCCAATTGTGTATGAGGAAAGTATGGAAAGAAGCAAGAAAGATCCTGCCTGGCCCTTGTGAAGATTGGAGACTCTTCTGGTTCCCATTCACTGAATATCAGATACTTCTCCATCCACAGCAGGAGGAAAAGCAAGCATCACTGAAGTGAGCCCACAAAAGAGAAAGGGACTCCAGGAAACTGCAGTTGCAGTTGATGAAAAAGAAGCATCTGGAAACCTAATTCAATGTTTTCTCCTGTTATTCATATTTTGAAGCATACAAAAAAAGCAGTGTTTCACAACCTTTTTTACATAGAAAATTATATTTGTGTGATATACTGAGCTAAATGGAAGAGCCTGCTTGTGGCTGAAATACCAGTTAAAATGCTCTGAGATAAAATACTAAAAGCTGCAAAGAATGTGCCTAATTGTTTAAAGAAACAATGGACACTAACCTGATGGCTTCTCCCTTGGTGTTACAAACAACCCCTGCTAAAGCCATCCAGCCAAGCTAGAGCAAACACATCTGCCAGCAGCTGTACCTCTGAATACTTATAGCATAGGTAAGGCAAGTTCACCCAAGAACTCTAACAAACCTGTTTCCCTTCTCTCCTGGAAAGGTAGACTTACCTGTTGTACTCAGATAAAGCCTGAGCAATCACAAGCCCCATTCCCTAGAAAGAAAAAAGACAGCACAGGTGAAATAAGGGGCTGGCAGTGATGCTATGATTAGGCCAGGGAAAACACTAATTACACCATCATGGTCCAAGACCAAGAAGTTCTACCTGAAAGTAGGCAACAAGGACAGAAATTCTGAGAGGCATTGCCAAAGCATCAAAAGCAACTTCTTTGGCCCAGCTGGGGTGGCTAAGTGGTTGGGCATTGACCCATGAACCAAGAAGTCACCAGTTCAATTCCCGGTCAGAGTACATGCCTGGGTTGTGGGCTCCATCCCAGTAGGGGGCATGTAGGAGGCAGCCAATCAATGTTTCTCTCTCATCGATGTTTCTCTCTCATCGATGTTTCTATCTCTTTATCCCTCTCCTTTCCCCTCTCTCTAAAAAATCAATAAAAACATTAAAAAAAAAAAAAAAAGAACCTCACCTTTCGGCCGGAACTGCCACCTTCCAGTAGTTCACCAAAATGACTAACACAGAGGGAAAGAGGAGAGGCACCTGCTATGTGCTCTCTAGGCCTTTTAGAAAACATGGAGTTGTTCCTTTGGCCACATAAATGAATCTACAAGACAGTGATATTGTGGACATCGAGGGAATGTGCATTGTTCAAAAAGGAATGCCCCACAAATGTTACCATGGCAAAACTGGGAGTCTACAATGTCACCCAGCATGCAGTGGGCATTACTGTGAACAAGCAAGTTAAGGGCAAGATTCTTGCCAAGAGAATTAATGTACATATTGAACATATTAAGCACTCTAAAAGCCAAGATAGCTTCCTGAAACGTGTGAAGGAAAATGATCAGAAAAAGAAGGAAGCCAAAGAGAAAGGTACTTGGGTTCAACTGAAGCGTCAGCCTGCTCCACCCAGAGAAACACACTTTGTGAGAACCAATGGAAAGGAGCCTGAGCTGCTGGAACCCATTCCCTATGAATTCATGGCATGATAAGTGGGAAAAAATAAAAAAGACCTCTGTGCTGATAAAAAATAATAAATAAATAAATAAATAAATAAATAAATAAATAAATAAATAAAAGGAACCTCTTTGGAGAGATTTCTCTGATCTAATTATCTTGCTGTTACTTAAAAGAGTAACGGGGTAAAACAGACCAGCTCAGATCACGGGCAATTTCACTGGGATCATTTTCACTTCAAAAGAGAAAACTGAATTAGAAGCTTCAAACAAAAAAATCTCATATGTCTCTAAACAAGCCACTCTTCAAGCCACAGGAGTATGAGAAGATCTAATAAAAATTAAAGTGACTTATCAACTTTCCCTCTAGAATCTATTAAACACAACACAAAGATCAATTAAGGCCACAAGATGAATAATGGGTACTTCTATTCATAAGGGAAATTAGAAAAATGAAGAGGGCAAGATGGAAAGAGAATAAAGCCAGACACCTGGTCATCTTCCTCCTCCCTATGTTCAGAGATCAGATGTTATTTCCCAAACTTTCAAGGACATACTGCAACAGATATATACCATTATCCATGTTTCGGCTTCACCAAGTCAATCTATAAATACCATCTGGCTAGTTGTACAAAAAGGAATTTCTGATCGTTTAATCACTTAAGCCTCTTTTTTCCCCCAGCTTTCTTGAGGTATAACTGACATATGAAATTGTAAGCTATTCAAAATGTACAGCATAGTATTTTTTAATATATTTTATTGATATTTTACAGAGAGGAAGAGAGAGGAATACAGAGAGAAAGGGAGAGAGATAGAGAGTCAGAAACATCGATGAGAGAGACACATCGATCAGCTGCCTCCCGCACGAAACCAAGGTACATGCCCTTGACTGGAATCGAACCTGGGACCCTTCAGTCCGCAGGCCGTCGCTCTATCCACTGAGCCAAACCAGTTAGGGCCAGCATAGTATTTTGATATATCATTTAAGCCTTCTTATTCTTGGAAATGTAACTTACTGGACTTTGTAGGATAGTCAACCTCAGCACACTATAACATGAAATATAACCAACCATTTCATCATGATTAGCAAGCAAATGTCCCTTCAAATCTTCCTTCCATGATGAGAAAATAGAATACAATACGATAGCTGCACTAATGCTCTAAAAAGAAACACAAAGTCCCTCTTTATAGCCAGATGAAATTAACACAAAAGCCCTCTGCTCTCTAAATATCCACTGCAAGTAAGTTTATTGAATGCAAGCAATTAAAACAATACACAAAGATCCAGATACTCACATTGAGCGTGGCCTCGTCATCCACAATAGACAGCTTCACAATATAAGGATTCACAGACTGTTAAAGAAGAGAAGAGACTCAAGGTGACTGTGACCTACTTAAAAACCCACTATTTAATAAGGTGTTAATAAAAATGCAGGTATCAGGCCCTCTCTCTACAGCAATGCTCCTACTACCCAGACCCAAGCCCATCTTATAAGCTAACTCCCCCATTTCCAGTAAATCTCTCAATGTGCATGGGCATTCACCAAGCACACACATGCATATACATGCATACATCTGCACACACATGCACACACACAAATTCTGTTCTACCTGCATTTTCCTCTGGGCTGAATTAGCTCAGGCCTATGTCTGGCACTTCTACCATCTTTCCTTCATATTTGTTTCTAAAAAGTAAGTGAACACTCCACAAAACTCACTCTGTCCTATCCTGCCAATAATTTACTGAGTCCATAGGGACAACTGTCTTTTGGGGGACATAAAAGCTTCTTTGCCATAAGGCACAAATTTGTAAGTTGCTAACTTACATTCTGATCCCAAAGGCTCCCTAACCATTCCACAAACGCTATGCAAGGACTGATTCACCCACCCGTAAAACAAAGCCACCTGGGGGGTGGAAAGTGGCAGCTGCTTAACAGCCAGAGAGGCCATTTGTGGATCTGATACCCAAATAACACTGCAGGGGAACTGGAAAAAAAAAAGGATGTAATTACCCAAACTACAATCTGGTCAGGACACTGGGATTTAATGATTGTCCCATCACTTATAGCATTGGAAGATTTCCTGAGTTTTTCCAGACCCAATCTCAGCTGGGCAGCATATGGAAATGAACATATATTTAAACTCATTAAGCAGTTGGGCCATCTCCTACTGGTGAGATGAGAACCAATGACCTGCTCACCTTGAAAACATCCCACCCATGGGATGTGAGGAAAGATCTCATGTAGATCAGGCACCAATTCTAACCCAAGGCAAGCAAGGAACAATAGTTCTCAGATTGGCGGTTTTTACAGCAACCAAGAAAACTCATTACAGAAAAACTTAGAAACCCAACTAAAAGGCTAACCCCCCACAAAGACCTTATTTAGTCAAGTTTCTGAGGGCATCTTTCGAATGTCAGTTGGGAATGGAGAGACAGCTTTGCTTTCTTAATAGCCAAATGTTTATAAGGTTTTCTGCAACACAACTCAAGAAGGTAAAACCCATTTCATTTGTTACTTGATGTAACAGAGGAAAGCTCTCAACATGTCTTCCTGTAACCAACAGTCAAATTCTGCCGGTGCTACAGATTTCAGATAAGATCCAATGCAAGTGGATGCTTAAAAAAAAAAAATCACCAATAGGCTGACCTAGCAATGCCACCATGATTAGAACACCACCAGAAGAAAAAGACCGGTTTCTTAGCATAATTTTTGAAAGTCCTAGCCACTCACCTTCCAAAAAGTACACTGATACCGGCAATAAGGATCATCTCATTACCAAGAAGAGTCTGTGCTTTTGCAGCAGTGGGGGAAAGGCCAGGTGGCTAAAAGCAAGGGTTTGAGTTCTAGCTCCTCTATTTATTAACTGTAATAAGTTAAGCACACCAATTAACAGAAGCTCAATTTCCTCATCTGTAAAATGGGAATTATATTTTCTTCCTTGGAGTTGCTATGAGACTTAAATGAAGTAAGACATGTAAAATCCTTAGCATAGTATCTGGCATATGGTAAGGGCTCAATGATTGGTAACCATATTTTTTCTCCTTTGACATTTTTATCACATTTGAAGGAAGCTCTTTAGGAAAGGAAGAGAGAGAGAGAGAGAAAGAAAGAGAGAGAGAGAGGGAGAACGAACTTCCAATTGGACCTTCCAATTGGACATAATAAACAATTTTGTAATTTCTGGAAAATGTCATGTTCAATGGGCAAGTCACTTCATCTCAGATGTGGCCAACCTAGAAGGCCAGGATATTAATGCTGTGAAAAATTCTATTCTCCAGACACTGATTCTCCTTAGCACTATGTACCTGTTGTGCTGGTCATGTTTTAAAACTGGAGGCAATCTACTTTTCAGCTACAAAACAGAATTACAAACTCAGTGAGGCATCATGAGGTTACTCTCATAGAGTCCTGCCTTTATTTGATCTAAACCATTCCATTCTTACCATTTTTCATTGCACTTTAGGCCTTTTTTGTTGTTATTGCCTCCTCTATCTCTTTAAATAAAATGACTAAAATGGAATGCATTACTTGAGGTGAGGAAGAACTATCTTTTACATTTACTACATGACATCTTTTCTATCTTTTCTATTACTTCCATTCCTTAAGTCCAACACCTTATTTGCTTTCTCTGTGTTTAGCTGGGCACCCAGCCTCTCTGGTGCCCTCTGCACCTTTCTAGAAAGGTCACAAATTACTGCATTGATCATGGAATTGGTTCTCCACAGCACATACCTCTCATACTAGCTTGTATAAAATTTCACCAACTTTTGGTTTTGCTACATTCATCTGGAATTCCTCATGTTTCTTCAAAAACCTGACTCCTCCCTGGTCACCAGGCTTCCTTGATGGTTTCTGGTGAGTGACTTATATCAAAAGCTGCAAAGCCCAGATAAATTATGCCCACCAGCTTGACCTTGCCTAGTATATTAATTCTTCTGGGGCTTCTGACAGACTAGATGCATGCCTCGCTCCAGAAATATGATTTCCTCCAGTTCCTTGGCCATGCCCAATTTTTCAGGCTGACATTTCAGAGAGCCCTACTGGGCTGAGCCAGCTTTCAGTTCACATTCAGAAAAGCCAAGCCACTGCCTCAGAGTGGCCTGCATCCAGCAGAATGTTCCAAAAATACTCATTACTGATGATGGTGCTTTCCTATCACATATAACTCAACTCTCTTTAACTATCTTCAGCATTTTTCCTCAGCTATTTTTCTTGCTGTTGTAATAAGGTCCCAGAGGCTATTATACATGACAGAGATCAAAATGGCTGCCATGCCAACCCCTCCAGATCACCAGTAAAACAGGTTTTGATGATAAATTACATATTTATTAATCACTTTAAACACCATCCGTCAATTCCTCCAAGACAATGAAAGCGATCAGCTCCTGGGATTTATAAGACATTAACACTGGTCCACATATTCCAGTTCCTCTTTAAGTGTTCCTTTCTCATGGCCTTCCCTTCTTCCATATCCCTCCAGATGTTGTTACTCATCATTGTTGACCTGACTAGGAATCTTATCAAATATCACTAAGCGAAGATCCGGAAGTTCAGAAATGATAATCCTCCCTCCAGCTGGCCCACTTCTCATAGCATTGCTACTTATTAAGTGAAGAAAGTCAGGTTCCCTCAATGCACTTCCTGACTTCTGGGTTTAATAAAGTACTCCTAATGCCCTGGCTGGCTTGGCTCAGTGGATAGAGCGTCGGCCTGTGGACTGAAGGGTCCCAGGTTCGATTCCGGTCAAGGGCATGTACCTTGGTTGCAAGCACATCCCCAATAGGGGGTGTGCAGGAGGCAGCTGATCGATGTTTCTCTCTCATCAATGTTTCTAGCTCTCTATCCCTCTCCCTTCCTCTCTGTAAAAAATTAATAAAATATATTTTAAAAAAAATAAATAAAATAAAGTACTCCTAGTATCCAGGATTGAAGGCTAAATGCTCCTTATTAGTCCGAAATTATCCCCAGTAAGGCCCCTGGTCTTCCCTAAGCGGCATTTTCTGTCTTTTGAGGGGAATCAAGTAGACACATCAATCAATCCAAGTAAAACTCTGAGTTCTGCTCTTCATCTCAAAAACCTATAAATCTGTCCCCAATTAATTCAGGGGCAAAAAGAACTCCAGAATTAATATGAATAAGGCTCTGTCTAAATTTCCATTAAAATGAGAAACAACCCTGGCTGATTTTGCTCAGTGGTTAGAGTGTTGGTCCACGGACCCAAGAGTCACAGGTTCATTCCTGGTCAAGGGTGCGTATCTCAGTTTCAGGTTCAATCCCCAGCTTAGATCAGGGCTTGGAGCGGGAGGCGACCAATAGCTATGTCTCTCTCAAGTCAATGTTTTTTTTCTTTCTCTCTCTCATCCCCTCTCCCCTCTCTTCTACTCTCTCTAAAAATCAATGGAAAAAATATCCTCACTCCTCAGGTGAGGATTAAAAACAAAATCAGAAAGAATTCCCAGACCAACAGTGATACTTTTATAAGTGGATTGCATTAAGTAAATCCAACATATGAAAGTCCAATCTTTCAAAACAGATGCATAAGGTCAGTGTTTCCAATCCTGGCTAATCATCATATTCAATAGGGAAGCTTAAAAAAAAAGATTCCCTGGTCCCACCCCCAAGAGATTCTGATTCTGTGTGTTAAGAGTAAAACCTGGACATTTCTTCTTTTTTAAAAGTTCCTAGGCGATCCTAATGATAAGCTGGGTCTGGAAACCACTATATTAAGGGATATTTACTCACTTCATTAGAAGTTGCACTACAGAATTCCTTTTAAAAGCTACATCATCTGCCCCATGCATTTAATATAGGGTTTTTAGAATTTGGCTTATCAAAATAAATCCATATATCATTTACCAAGAGCATGTCTTCCACATTAAGCAAAGTCTTCTAGAAGTAGCCACATGTAGGAAGATTATAGGAAGATAACAACTATTGATTAAAGAAGCCACTTACCTCATATTTTCTGTAGTTCACCAACAAAGCCAAGAGGACTACAGCATCATACCCATGCTCCCTACGACTTGGGGGGTGGGAGAGTATCTGTAATAAGAACCAGAAATGTGTGATAGTGCTAATTCCTAGTTCCTAGGAATGCAGACAGAGAAGATTTGAGGAGGTAGTTTACCCAAAAGAGAAAAAGGTGACAAGGAAATTGACCAACCTGTAAAATTGCTTCAAATATGCTGTTGATCATTACATACTCCAGGATAGTGTTCTGGCTGATGTTATCTGTCACCTGAGTGCAATAAAGGGCTTTTTAAAGACTACCCTGAGATACTCTGATATTGCATATATATCTCCTTTGCTAGCATCTAAGAGAAACAGAAATGTTAAAACATTCTACTAGATACTTACTGGACCTTTTTTAAAGCTCCCCCAAAGCCACGATAGCCTAAACAGACATAGACTAAAACAGACACTAGACGGATAGGAAATTAGGAAATTAAAACTCCCTAAATTTTTTAACCTCTCATTGTTTCTCTCATACCCTCACACAAGCATTTGCTTAACAGTTTCTTGGATTTCAATCCTCAAATGCACAGGAAGAAGTTTATGATCCAGAAGTCTTTGAGTAGTGGCAAGGAAGGGAACCACCTGAAGTAAATGAACAATACCTTGCCCTCCTCCCACTAGAAGGTACAGGCCAGCTTCATGCTAGAAAATCTAAGTCAGAATAAATAAAAATATTCAGAATTACAAAAACTGTTTCCAAATGAGACCTGATGAGAAGGGCAAAGCTGATCATGCAGAAGAGAGTAGTTCTCCAGGAGTGGTACCTTTAAAGTAACAAATATCACATATCCTGCAGGTTAAAATGATAGCAGTTGCTCCAAAGAGCAACTTTCAGGAAACAAAAGACCATACAACTTCCTCCTATACATTCAGACACAACAGAGTGATGTAATGCCCCAGTACATAATTTATTTTTCTCTTTTCCTCTCTAACTTTGGGCTCAAATATTCAAATAAGCTTGCCCCTGCTGTTAACTAATACCCTTGACAAAGAAATATAGATGAGTGACTTACAGTCACTAGGCAAAGGAGAAGTTTCAGGCATAAACTCTTCAGACTTTCAGAACCTTCTGCACAAAGCAATGAATCCAAACTCTCCATCAAGTTCTGAGAAAGAGAACGGTTAAGTGTTAAACCATATCAAGTAATATCTACACTGTGTCTTTGTCCAATTCTGGGTTATGTTACACAGAGTAATGTGAATAACACACAAGGAAGCAAGCATATCACCCCCTGAGGCCCTTGCAAAATTAGACAAAGAAAAGGAAGACTTCTAAGTCTACCTATTTTTAGGAAAATGCTTTAGTAACAACAGCATAGAATAATAGAATTCACTATTCTACCAAATAAATGTTTATAGCCTATCATCCTCATATAAACTTTTATTTTAGAATGAAGTACATTTTTAAAATATTTAATAATTATTTAAAAACTAGAGGCCCGATGCACGAAAATTCGTGCAAGAGCAGGCCTTCCTTCCCCCCGCTGCCAGCACCGGCTTCCCTCTGGCACCCAGGACCCGGCCTTCGCTCCAGCCGCTAGCAGGCACCCAGGACCCGAGCTGCTTCCCTCCAGCCGGACGTCCGGTCTAATTAGCTTATTACCCTTTTATTATTATAGATGGGTAAATTAAATAATAAGTATATAAACTAAAAAAAACAAATAAGCTAACAATAAAATAAATTAAATTAAAAATAACAAATATCAAGCTGTTTTGATTAGAGTGGCTTTGTAGTATAATTTGATATACCAGGACTCCTCAAGGGAGGGTTGTATTTTGAAAAATCAGTAGGAATTAATTAAAACTTGAGGAGGAAAGGAATTCGACAGGCATTAGCATGATCAAAGACAATGAGGAATGAAACAGCTCTGAATATGAACTTCGAATACAAGTAGTTTGTTATTATGGAAGTATAATGAGTGAGGCACAGTGATGAAAGATGAGACTAGAGAAATAAATAGGGAGCAGGTCTTGAAAGTTTTATAAGGCTAACTAAGAGTTTGGTCTCTATTCTGTTAGTGATAGGAAACTAATAAAGGGTATTAAGCAGAAAAAATTGAGTGTAAGATACAATACCTCTGGTGTCAATGAGAATGACAGATTTAAAGATGGTAAGCCTGAAGGAATGGAGACAAATGAGGACTAACCTATCAGTTTTCTGAAAATAGTTGCCATGTCTTATTTGTCTCTGTATCCCCAGTGCCTGACACACAGAAGCCCAACAAATGTTTGTCAAAAGAATGTATAAAGACATCACTGCAATGGTTCAAGTGAGAGATAATGGGGACACTGGTAACGGGAGGGGGGGGGGAAGGTATGAGAAATATGAGCTGAGGTAAAATTAGCTGAACCTGGTGATCATTTGGATATGAAAAATGAGAGAGAGAACAGACTAAAGGATGACTCCTAGGTTTTTGGCTTTAGGTACCGTTAAGACAGGTACTTCTATTCTGATAGGGAATGAATGAGGAAAAAGAGATATAGGGAAAACAATGAGTTCCATTTTAAATATGTTTAGCAAGAGATATTTAGGGAGTGGGTATATTCAACAAGTGCTTACAGAGTACATATACAATTCTGAGACTCATGAAGGGATGTTAAAGCTAAAGTTAGAGACTTAATAATCAGTAGCATATGGGCAGTAGTTAGAATGAGGATGAAAGAGAAATATGGGATTTTATTATGATATATACATGAACTGTATAGGCTAGAATTAAAAAATGACTCCAGCTCTAGCTGGTATTGCTCAGCGGTTAGAGTGTTGACCATCAAACCGAAGCGTCTCAGATTTGATACCCGGTTGAGGGCACATGCCTGAGTTGCAGGTTAGACCCCCGGACCGGTCAGAGTGCATGTGGGAGACAACCAATCAATATGTCTCTCTCACATTGATGTTTCTCTCTCCCTCTTTCTCTCTCTCTCCCCCACCTCCCTTCTACTCTCTCTAAAAATCAATGCAAAAAAATATCTACAGGTGAGAATTAACAAAACAACAAAAATGACTCCAGGTAGTAAATTTTGTGTAGTCATAATTGTCTATCCATAAGTTTTAAAAATTGTCTAATCACTATAAGGATTCTTTGGCACACAGATTTTTTAATGTATTTTTTAATATATTTTTATTGATTTCAGAAAGGAAGGGAGAAGGAGAAATAGAAACATCAATGATGAGAGAGAATCATTGATTGGCTGCCTCCTGCATGCCCCACTGGGTATCAAGCCCACAACCTGGGCATTTGCTCTGACCGGGAATCGATCCATGATCTCCCTGGTCCACAGGTGAACACAACCATTCAGCCACGCCGTTAGGGCTTAATATATTTTTATAGCCCTAGCTGGTTTGGCTCAATGGATAGAATGTCAGCCCATAGACTGAAGGGTCACAGGTTCAATTCTGGTCAAGGGCACATACCTTGATTGCAGGCTTGATGCCCACCCCAGGGAGACAACCAATCAATGTGTCTCTCTCACACCGATGTCCTTTTCTCTCTGTCTCACCCACCCCCCTCCACTCTCTCTAAAAATCAATGGGAAAATATCCTCAGGTGAGGATTAACAAACATATATATATACACACATATATATATATACACATACACACACACACACAGAGAGATATGTTTTTTTAATAGCCTGGCTGGTGTGGCTAAGTGGTTGAGCATCAACACATGAACTAAGAGGTCATGGTTCAATTCCAGATCAGGACACATGCCCAGATTGTGGGCTCGATCCCCAGTGTGGGGCATGCAAGAGGCAGTCAATCAATGATTCTCTCTCATCATTGATGTTTCTATCTCTCTCTCTCCCTCGCCCTTCCTCTCTGAAATTAATAAAAATATATTTAATAAAATAAAATAAAAAAGGAAGCTTAAAGTTTAGAACTAAAGTTACCCTTGTATATTTAGTGACATTTTATTTAAGTTCATACATGTTTTTAAAACTGTATGATCAGATGATATAAATCATAAAAAAGCTGCTCAGTCATTATCCTGCAGAGAAAGAATGCCTCAATTCAAATCTGAATTTCAAATTTTCCTTTATTCAGATAAACCAAATCTGTAAAATAAAAACATCCAAATTCAAGGCCAAATTCAGTCATCTATATCTATTTGAGTCCAAATCTTCTAGTACAGCGGTCACCAACCTTTCGGACCTCACGGACCACCAGTGGTCTGCGGACCACCGGTTGGCAACCGCTGTTCTAGTACATCTAACTGTCTGCAGATGGTACCCATGAACAGCTGTCAGAAGCAGCCATATACAGGCACAGCTGCAGCTTATGCCTCACCTTCATGCACAGCTCCGCCTTGTCAAAGCCCATCAGCATGTTGATAATGTCAAACCCAGAGGTAGACTTATTCTTTTGATGTACTCCTCGAATGAGTGCACACAACGTCTGCAGAGATGAGAGAAAGAATTCTGGAGAGGAAGTCTCAAAACGAAGGGCACTGGAACTGTAGCCTCACATTGCAACCTCAGAACCTCCTCCTGGCACTGACATTCAAGTGCTCTAACTCTTGAGTCCCAAAACTCAGTCTGAGTCTTCATATGTGCAAAATCCAGAAATCAAAAGAGGAACAGCAACTAAAACTATTTTTATCTTCTTTTTCTGTTGCTTTACAGCCATCCTCTTTTTTAAAATTGCAGTGGAGACAAAGACTGGAAGGTGATATTCAAAAATAAAAAAAGTTTTTGAGTTTGTATCATGGGATTGATGAAAGTTTCCTTTATTAAAATTAATTTTAGTATTTACATTATAGTTTATCATTTTTAATAATTATTTTTAATAACTAGAAGTTATTTAAGTCCCTATATGATAAGTCCCTATATGATAATAACCAATTGCTTCAAATCTTAAATTATTTACATTCCACTACTTATTAGCTGTGTGAGTCTAAATCTCTTTTCTCATCTATAAAATGGAAATAACAATAGCACCCATCTCATACGAATGTTGTGAGAACTATGTGAATTAATACCATAAGGCACTTAGAATAGTCCCTACAACTTTGTTAAAGCTCCAATAATAGTATCTTGAATGTTGTTAAAGTTCATTAAGTATCAGCTATTACAATAATGTACTATATTTTAATTGGTCACCAAGTGGTTTAATGTCAATTTATTTCCACCAAACTAAAAACAGTTTACAATTCATGCCCCCAAGCAATCATGGAAAGTACACTTTTCAACTTTCAATGAGCCCTTACAACTGTGGAATTTATTGTGCCAAAGGTTAACAAAGCTACAGGATAAACATAGTCCTTCTTTCTGGAGCATCAGTTCAAGAAGTAATTTCTACATTCTACAGATGAGAAAACGGGCTCACAAAGTGATCTGACTAGTAAGTCAGAAACTTAAAACCAAATCAACCAAAACTTCCAATAAAATCCTTTATGCTGTCTGTCTATCACTGCTCTAAATCTATCAATCACTAACCTAATACTCAGCCCTAGATTGGCTACCCTTGGAGGTACTAGATAATAAACTTTAGAAACTGCCCATCATTCATTCAGTAAAAATTTACTTATAGAGTGCTATTTGCCAGGCACTGTTCTACACATTAGGAACAACGTTTTGAATGAAACTATCAAAGTCTTTGCCTTCTGGAAGTCTAAAATGTATCCCCACAAGTCCAATAGTTAGCACATAACAGTCATCTAAGAAATAATTATTCAATGAATCTTCCTCTTGATCATGCCACTTAGCATTAAGAACAATGATTCTTAATGCTTTCAGAGTTACAGACCCTTTTGAGAATCTGATGAAAGAAAGCCCTCTCTCCAGAAAGATTATACATACGCCTATAAAATACTACATATAACTTCAGGGAGTCAAGGACCCTCTGAAACCTCAGATTATGAACTCCTGACCTAGTGAGAAAATACTGTATTAAGAATCTCCTCTGCTCTGGCCGTGTTTCTAAGTGGTTAGAGCATCAACCGTGCACTGAAGGGTCTCGGGTTCAATTCCCGGTCAAGGGCACATACCTGGGTTGCAGGTTCGTTCCCCAGTCCCACATGTGGGAGGCAACCAATAGATGTGTCTCTCTCACATCAATGTTTCTATCTCTCTCTCCTCCCTCCCTCTCTCCATTCCACTCTCTCTTAAAAAAAAAAAAAAAAAAAAAAAAAAAAAAAAAAAAAAAAAAATCAATGGAAAAAATATCCTCAGGTGAGGATTATAACAAAAAAATCTCCTCTGATTTTTGCTATAGACTAAGTAAACTTGCCTCAGTTTCCTCTCTATTTCTTCCTTTCCTCAAGTAATAATAAGAATTCTGTCAAACAATCTGTCTTGACACTAGATCAAATTATACAAATGGACAAGATTACTACTATATGCATCAATTTGTTTAACCAGGAAGATGACTGAACAAACATGATATAGATGTTTCATTACTTAAAGAAGTAAAGAAAAAAGAAAATCTCACACGTAAGGGCAATTCTAAGTTCCTCAGGTCTCAACAGATGTGTTACAATTCCTTTGTCCTATCAAACAAGACTTCCCAGTCTCCCAGCCTTGTACCTGCAATGCATTGACAACTCGAATTGGATGTTCCTCTCCTAGAGCCTGGATGCAGTGTTGAAATAAGCAATTAATGTTGTCCTTGATCTTCATTAACTCCTCACCATCAAGAGATTCCAGTTTGCCTTCTAGGTAATCTAAATTCACCTACCAAGGAAACGATAAGAACCTGAGTTCACTTTTAGTGCAGTGCCTAGAACACATGAGAAGGCAATCTCAGTTACCAGGAAAATCCACAGATGCCACCAAGTCTTACCTTCATGAGGAAGAGCTCCTCCCAAAATCGAGGACTGCACTTACTGGGGTCCTCTGTCTGAAATCAAGATAAGCAGGTTCAATATCTGCAGCTAAACATCAAATCACTAAGAATTCATTTGAAAGAGTCACTACCCATAATCAACATTACCTTACAAAATTAACTTTGAAAATTACCCTTTCAAAATTAATTTTTTACTTGGTCAGTATAAATTATTATAATGGGGAACAACAGTTATGGGATTTCCCCCCCCCCAAATGAAAAGCACTTTGCATATATATTTATTCTCTGAACCAAAAGTTAAATAATGGCCCAAAGAATCTCCCTCAAATCTTTCTCTTCTAACAAGAAGTGCACCTAGCCCTAGCCGGTTTGGCTCAGTGGTTGAGCATCAACCTATGAACCAGGTGGCCACAGTTCAATTCCCAGTCAGGGCACATTCCCAGGTTGCGGGCTCAATCTCCAGTAGGGGGTGTGCAGGAGGCAGCTGATCAATGATTCCCTCTCATCACTGTTGTTCCTCTCTCTCTCTCCCTTCCTCTCCCTTCCTCTCTGAAATCAATAAAAATATTTTTTTTAAAAAGGAAGTGCACTTAATCATCCAAATAAGTTAATCAAATTATATGTCCCCACTGCATTTGTATCAAGCTCAGTTTTCAAAGCCCATTCACATATTTATAATAATAAAAGCGTAATATGCTAATTAGACTGGACAGCCGAACAACCTTCCGGACAGCCGAACAACCTTCCGGACATCCTCCTGGACGTCCTTCCTGACGACCTTCTGGACGCAGCTAGGGCTGCGAGGGCCAAGGCAAGCCACCACGGCTGCAAGGGCTGAGGCAAGCCGCTGTGGTTATGAGGGCTGAGCCCCTTGCACGAATTTCATGCATCGGGCCTCTAGTCCTATATAATAGAAGCCTAACATGTAAATTGTCCCCTCTACTGGGAGTTCAACCGCTCCCTATGACATGCGCTGACCACCAGGGGGCAGGCAGAACATGGCGGGCGTCAATGATGTGGCACTGGCAGCAGGTGGCAGTGGAGGCGCTGCCAGCCCCAATGGGCCCCGACGAGAGCGGGACTGTGGTGGGATGGTGCAGCAGGTGAGCTGGCGGCACCAGGCCAAGGCGGGTGGGAGCGGGGCCCCAATCGCCCCACCAATTGCCCCGCAGACAGCAGCAGGGGGTGTAACCTCCGCCCGGCTCCCAGGCATTGAGAGCCGGGTGGGGGGGCAGGAGGGGGAGCCCCAATCAATCGCTCCACAGGTGGGATGGTGAAGCGGGTGAGGAGGCGGCATCAGGCCACCCCGCAGGCCACCCGAGGGACCCCACCTGTGCACGAATTTGTACATCAGGCCTCTAGTATGAAATATAATGACCCAGTGAACCAAGTATGATAGATATAACCATTACCTCCTTTTAGGAAAGAGGGTCAACAAAGTTAAGTGACTTATAAAAGAGCAGGAGCCTGAACCCAAATCATTTCAGTAACGCTGTCACGGTTTTTACAACATCTTGTGTTGATTGCTTCTACTTGCCCTCACATATGTATTTAGTCCTTTGTACAGAGTTTTTAACATGCTCTTTCCTTAAATTGGTCCAAAAGGTTAGCAAAAATTATAGTGCTAAGATCCAAATTTCTCAGCAATAATTTTCAAACAGAAATACTAGACCAGCGGCCACCAACCTTTCGGACCTCGCGGGGACCACCGATTGGTGACCACTGCTCCAAAGGTTTTCTTAAACCAGCGGTCGCCAACCTTTCAGACCTCACGGACCACCAGTGGTCCGAGATCACTGTTCTAGACAGTCAGAGGCTTCCAGTTAATGAGTAAAATAAGAAAAAAGATAACCCTTACTACCACTTTACAGGAAAGCTAATGACAAAAAGCAGTAGGCCTGCTATCACCTTTCCTTAAGTTGACCTTTTAAAATTACTACCAAGAACTAATGTCTTAATACTAATGAATTCTAACATGGACCATAAAGGAGATGGATTCTGGAAAATCAAGGTTCTAACATTACCTAATGGGAGGAAAAATGTTTAGATCTTGATTTTGTTGCCCTATCACAGATTCCTCTTCTTAATTAACGTCTATTCACACACAAAAATAAATAAATAAATTTTAAAAAGAACTAATGTCTTCATTATTTAAGAACTCCTGCTCTAATAAGAAAGTATTATACTAGGAATCTCTTCTGGATTTTTAATTGAGGATGATTTCTGGCCTTCTTATCAGGTTCTCATTTAGTCTCTTTCTCTCAAGTCCTGCTCCCAAGGAGAGATCCCACTTTGACCCTCACACTTTTGTAATGTCATTTTGTTGTCTATATATGATACTCAGGGAACTAATGGAGCTGGCACTTCTCATCCTCAAAACTCACGCAAGCAGGAGTCAAATGTATACCAAGCTTACTTAATATAGAAAAAGCCCTAACAAGATCCTAGTACCTGCTCATTTTCATTGTATAACCACCTGTACTGACCTGGGAAATTTTGTGTTAATTTTCTGCATGTCAAACTCTGTCTCCAAGGCTTTGCCAAAAGTTAAATGTTTTACTTGACTGGATTATTAATCCTGGGCCATGTGGCAAAGTTGAACAAGTAAGGGCTCTGGAGTCAGACACTAGAGTTCAAATCACCTTCTAGCTATGATCCCCAATTTTCTCATCTATAGCATAATCTTTTACATGGCACATATAAAAAACATAGCCCTCTTGTACCATTCTTGTCAGAATTAAAGCTAATGTATTTAGTGATACATTTAGAGTAATGCCAGGAGCATAGGAGAAACTCGATGTACAATAACACTTTTTATAGGTATTATTCTATTTTATATGCACTACTACTTATGACCAGGACTTCAGAAGGCAAGTACCCCTACAAAGCATCTAATTATTCTAACCTTCCCTGACAGGGTATATTTTACAACACAAGCATGGACCATGATCACTCAGCAGTTATGAAGACCCAAAGAAATCCAACTGCTAATATTCTTCAGTTAACGCATATAGAGAATAAGATAGTCTAACTAAACGACTGTTCTGTCACCTAACAACTTTAGATGGAATATAATAGAGCATCTTTTTTTAAACATCTGAAACATAGAACTCTAGGGTCAAAAGGAACTTCAAGAGACATTTAGGATAGAAAGGTCCTTAAGTCAGCTCATAAGGAAGACAAATCTAAAAGATATTCAGAAAAGAAGCTTCCCCAGCCTGCCTTCCTCCTTTCAATTGTTTTACCCAGCTTATGACAACAATCTATATTAATTAATACATGATCATAATTTCTACTATGAGAGAGCTCACTTTCACCCTTGCTCTCTCTTTCACCCTCTGAAGAACTGGAAGGTAGCAGGCAGAGGGGAGGTAGTCATTCATTTTAGAACAAGAAACTAAGGAATCAAGCCATGCAGAATATCAGGGCTTCAGGCCTTACCATGAAGATCTCATCATACATCAGCACCACTTTTTCCTTCAGTGGTTTTTTGGAGGCTGAAGATTTCCGGAGCAAACCCCCTCTTTTCTCTACCTGTGCCATGGTTAGAGAATCTGTGAAAAGAAAACCAGAGTCAGTGCTAGAATTGCTCTCCAAGATTCTGGAGACTCTATTGAAACACCTCTTAATGGGAAATTATTTTAGGAAGAAGAAATGATAAACAACCATGCTATAGGTCTTGCACATCTGTCCAACACCCCCTCTCCTGACCAGGTAATTTCAAGATTTAAATCATTACTTGGCCTACAGCACAACACATTTTACATCCTTAAGACATGTCAGTAGACAAGGCTTAAAGCAGACCAAAACCAAGCAGGAAAGTGTAACTAGCTCCATCTGTAATAGATCTGGCCATATATTTGAGGTTGATGGAAGGAAGGCTGCAAAGTACACACTGCCCCAGACTGATGGTGAAGTTAAATTTCAAGTATTGATCGAGCTTAGGACCATTAAGACAGGAAGTGTGCTGCAGACTGATGTGCTCCATTGATTTTCCCCAGAGTAAGTAGGTTCTCGTCACTGCAAAGCACTTGGCCTTCACTACCTCATAAATCACAATGCACTTGACTGTCTTCAGAAATTCCTCTGGAAAGAGACCCGAGGTAGAAAATATCAGTTAAAGGCCAAAAATTAAACTTAATTTCAAAATAACTGAATATAACAAAATACTCCTTTTAAATGTAATTATACATGTATGTATGTGCATATATACACTATTGCAGATCAAACCTCAATGTATTTTTCAATTTTATATAAAAGCAATTCCATGACTCATGCCCAAATTTCCCCATCTTGCTTCAAGGAATTCTCATTTTTTTATTTTATTTTATTTTATTTTATTTTATTTTATTTTTTTAATATATTTTTTATTGATTTTTTACAGAGAGGAAGGGAGAGAGATAGAGAGTTAGAAACATTGATGAGAGAGAAACATCGACCAGCTGCCTCCTGCACATCTCCTACTGGGGATGTGCCCGCAACCCAGGTACATGCCCTTGACCGGAATCGAACCTGGGACCTTTCAGTCCGCAGGCCGATGCTCTATCCACTGAGCCAAACCGGTTTTGGCTATTTTATTTTTTTATTCTCACCCGAGGATATGTTTATTGATTTTAGAGAGAGGAAGGAGGAGAGGAGGGAGAAGGAGAGAGAAAGGGAGAAAGGGACACATCGATGTGAGAGAGAAACATCAATTGGCTGCCTCCCTTACGTGCCCTGACCAGGGATCAATCCTGTAACCTAGGTATATGCTCTCACACGGAATCGAACCCGCAACCTTCTGGTTACCGAACGACACTCTAACTGAACCACCCAGCTAGGGCTAGGAATTCTCAATTTTTTAAGTGAGAACTTAAAATCCAACAGGTCTTCACTGTGAATTTACACATATTCCCTCACTTCCCAGATTCTTCCTACCTGATGGGCCCAAATTCCTGTCTCTCTCTTAAACACTAGGCTCTAGCTGTGAAACTTAATCTCAACCAATGGCAAGTATGGGGGGGTAGTGAGGAGCCTGATTTTTACTTCCAGACTAACCCAAAGCAGAACAAAATTAATTTTGTTCAATGACTTTTGAGAAATATCCAGTATCTTTCAAATCAAAATAAAAAGTTTAAGAAACAGATGCATCAAATAGCATAAAAGATTTTATCTCAGACATTGTTTTTCTCTAATACAGCTAAAAAGGAGATTCACCTTTGAACACAAAAAGCATAAAGCACAGAAAATTTCCCCAACTAGATATTAGGCATCTTTAGCAAAGGGAATACATCTATACTTTTTCTATAGCCCCATGGCTCATGGTATGCTCATCACTGACTGAGTCTGAAATGGGGAAGGTGGGGGAGAGGTGGCTGAAAAGTACTAGATCTGACCTAAAATGTTAGTAAGACCCATCTTTATTGAGGCCTCACTAAGCCCTCAAATTCCATTATGGTGCAGAGAAAACTGAAGGGGAAAATAACAAAGAAAAGATTCTTGTGGGCAATTTATGCTATATTGATCATGGCTTTGCCTTAAAACATGAAATACAGCCTCTGTTTTCAAAACATTCCTGTGTCTCTTAAATAGGTTGTCAAGAGGAAGATGTCCTTATAGGGGATAAAACAAATTGGAAATCAAGAGGATCCTATTAAAATAAATCAAAAGCAATGCAATTCTAAACTTAGTGGGTATAGATCTTTCATGTACTCAGCTTCAACCAGTTGATTAGCAGGAATAGTGGGAACCACGAGTTCCTGGATGTGAAAAGCACATGTTTACAAACATCCCCCTCTGAGGATTTATAATTGGGTTCCAGCTAATCAATGTCTACCCCAAATCTAATAAACTCACTTTCTCTATTTCAGAATCAATACTTTCTAATAAGCAAACGGGAATAGTGGAAGAGGGAAAAACAATTCCAATCCAAAGTACCAAATTTCCTAAGAAATTAAATTCTTTTCATCACTCTCCTTCAATTTGGAGCAGGGGGGAAATTCAACCAAGGGCTTCAACTCATTACTCTCTGTCATCATCACAAGCAACTGGAATTTACCACCCAAGCTGTCGAAAATGTGACTAGAAACTGATAACATAAACCTCCTCCTCCAGCACTTCTATCCATGAAACACAGCAAAGGGTATGTCTAGGGTGGTAGACTGGGAGAAATGTAGTTTAGGGGGTATCTCAGAAATTAAGCATGTGCTACTAAATTTGAAAGTAAAATATTTGACTGGTAGAGCAGTAAATTGCAGCACATCAGTAATGTGAGTGTTATCTATTTACATCCTCTCAGTGCATTTTTTCCTCTTTCACAACCCTCTCCTGTTGTAGAGAGAATCAGCGCCAGCTGAGGAGCATGAAGGCAGAATGGAACAACGAACCAACAGAACCGAACCTAGAACACCAACTAGAATCTCAGTGATGGCGAACCTATGACACGCGTGCCAGAGGTGACACATGAACTCATTTTTTTGGTTGATTTTTCTTTGTTAAATGACATTTAAATATATAAAATAAATATCAAAAATATAAGTTTGTTTTACTATGGTTGCAAATATCAAAAAATTTCTATATGTGACACGGCACCAGAGTTAAGTTAGGGTTTTTCAAAATGCTGACACGCCGAGCTCAAAAGGTTCGCCATCACTGAACTAGATGACAGTAAGTAAGTCTTTACTCCTCAGTTTCCTTACCAGGAAAGCAAAGCGATTGGACTAGACATATCATCTAATGATTCTCTCTCAACATCACTTAAATACCATAAACACATAAGGAATGCCTACATATTATAAAGCACTATTTTAGGCATTACAGGGGTTACAAAAAGCAAACTTCATACCTGATGCTCTGGGAGCTCACTATTGGCAGAGACAGACGCGTAATAAAGCATAGCACAAGGCAATAAATAGAGAAATAAATAGAGTAAAAGCACCAAAAAAATTTGTTTAATGCTATGGGACCACAAGGAAGGGAAAGAAGCATCCTATGACTATGGCCTTTGTTGATCCTGGCTTTTAAATCCTTGTGGTGAAGAAGCAAATACAGCAAAGCCATAGTAATCCCACAGAAATGTCATCTTAGGCTTAGTACAGTTTCTCAGAAATAAGACATACTAGGCAAAATATAAAAGAGAATCAGGCAACTTTTCAATAGTAATTTCATTTACCACCAAACAGGAATGACTTCAAGTCCCCCCAACTCAAGAGTAAATAAATGAAGTCTTTTATTCCTAAACCTCAGGGACTGCTGATCCTATGACCTGTAGTACAACTTTTCTCTTAAAGATCTAAGTCATATAATTTCATATATATATATATTTGTTTTTTTAATTGATTTCAGAGAGGAAGGAAGAGGGAGAGATAGAAACATCAATGATGAGAGAGAATTATTGATCAGCTGCCTCCTGCACGTCCCACACTGGGGATTGAGCCCACAACCCAGGCATGTGCCCTGACTGGGAATTGAACTGTGACCTCCTGGTTCATAGGTTGATGCTCAACCACTGAACCATGCTGGCCAGACCATACAACTTCTTAAGAACTATATATTTAAGCAATCCAGCCACATACTTCTTTTTTGTTGTTACTGTTGTTGTTAATCCTCATCTGGGAATATTTTTCCATTGACTCTTTTTTTTTAAAGAGAGTGGAAGGGTGGGGGAGAGACAGAGAGAGAAACATCAATGTGTGATTGATTGGTTGCCTGCAACAGAGGTATATGCCCTTGGCCAGAATCAAACCAGGGTCCCTTCAGTCCTCGGGCCAATACTCTATCCACTGAACCACATTTTTTATATATATTTTTATTTATTTCAGAGAGGAAGGGAGAGGGAGAGAAAGATAGAAACATCAATGATGAGAGAGAACTACCGATTGGCTGCCTCTTGCACGCCCCCTACTGGGGATTGAGCCTGCAACCTGGGCATGTGCCCTTGACCGGAATGGAACCCGGGACCTTCAGTCCACAGGCCGACACTCTATCCACGGAGCCAAAACGGCTAGGGCTAGCCACATATTTCTTAAATGCATATCACTTCACATCCCTACAGGATGAAAAAGCCAAATATCAAGATTTTAAAACCTAAAGCCAACTATTCCAATGTCTAATATGCAAGGAATGTTAGTTACACTTAGCCAGTTATTCATTTATTTTATTATCATTACTACAATATTTGCCAACTCTAGTATCAAAAATAATTTTAAGCCTGGCTGGCATGGTTCAGTGGTTGAGTTGACCCATGAACCAGGAGGTCATGATTCGATTCCCAGTCAGGATGCGTGCCCGGTTTGCAGGCTTGATCCCCAGCAGGAGTCATGGAAGAGGCAGCTGATTAAAGATTCTCTCATCACTAATATTTCTATCCCTCTTTCCCTCTCCCTTCCTCTCTCTGAAATCAATAAAACATATTTTTAAAACAAATTTTTTTTAAAAAAATTTATAGAAATTCACTCTGATTTCAAGAGAGCTGCCACAGTTAATCTATCAAAAGTCTTGGGCCCTGGCCAGGTGGCTCAGGTTGGAGCATCGCCCTGTACACCAAAAGGTCACAGGTATGCCCTGACGGGTTTGG